CCGTTATCAACTAAAATTATTTTATTAAAGAAAATCAAAGATTTTCCATTTTTTTTTTTAATTCGTTTTTTACTCTATTTTCTGTTTCCTCAATTAGTTTTTTTCTTTCATTATCATTCATTACTGTTTGTGTTTGTTTTGTTCGTATATTTTCTTTCATTTTGTTGTATTTTTCTAATTCATCTAAAATAAGTTTAAATTCATCTGCACTTATCTGTCCGTCAGTTAAAGATTTTGATATTAAATCTTTTATGCTGTTTAACTTGCATTCTGCCATTGTTTTAATTTCATAATGTTTTTTTGATTTTGTTGTCAACTTTCTTCTAATTAATTTAACTAGACCTCCTAAACTTCCACATACAACAGCTGCAATTTGTATGGGAAGTAAGATAGGAAAAGCTATTCCTATACCAGCTAAAACAACAGATGTCGAAATTAAACTTGTATCAACACCATCAGTAACATTAACTCCGCGTTTATATTTTTTGTATAGTGATTTACGTTTATCTCTCTCATTTATTAATGTTTTTTCTATTTCTGTTATTTTTTGTAGTCTATAATTTTGTCCATCTTCTATAGGTAATTCTGGATATAAATCAGGAGCTGTAGGTTGTTTCATTTTTTAAAGTAAAAATTGATTTTTTTTTTTTCTCTTAAATCCCACAGAATTCTTTCTTCGCCTGTTCTCCCGGTTTTTTTATTTATTTTTTTTTTGGAATTTTTTTGTTGTTTTTTGGGTGTTTTTAATAACGTTTTTTCCAAAGTAAAAAAAAAATTTTTTTGGGAGTAAGAAAATTTTGGTGTTTTTGCGTTTTTTTTTGCTTTTTTTTTTATGAAAATTTAGGGCTCTTTTACTTGAAATGAGGGTAATTTTTTGGGGGTCAATTTTTTTTTTTTTGGAGGGGGATATAGGTGTGTGATATTGTGTAACAGTACATCATACAATTATGGTATCTATACAAGTAAATCAATTGGAGTCCTGAAACCAAAATATGAACATAAATACTCGGACTCAAAATTATAAAAATATCCAATGTGACAAATATTTTTTACTCATTCATATTTGTACTTTATAAAAACTATTCAATACAAAACTATTACTTTATATAAATGGAAACACTTTTCCGTCTTTTGTTTAACAAGCCGCCATTTATAAAATATAGACTATTCGTGACAATAATCAAATATGTACGCAAATTAACAATATAATTCTACCGTGGCAAATAAACCGTAGATCATAAAATCATGTTCTCGTAACTTAATAAAAATACTCTCATGTGCATCTTTCTTACTAGTGTAACATGCATGCGATATGAGGAGAACGATACAAAAAAGTAAAATCACAAAAATACTGAACTCCGAGGAAAATTCAATCGGAAAGTCCCTAATCACATGGCAAAATCAAATGACAAAACACATCAAACGAATTGACAACAACTGTCATATTCCTGACTTGGTACAGGCATTTTCAAATGTAGAAAATGGTGGATTGAACCTGGTTTTATAGCGCTAAACCTCTCACTTGTACGACAGTCTTATCAAATTCCGATATATTTACAACGATGCGTGAACAAAACAGACATTATAAATAAAATAGTCAAAATATGGGTACAGCAGTCATCACTGTGTTACAATATCAAAACAAACAATTATTTACAAAAAAGAACAAAAGCATCTATCAAATTAAAAACCACATGCATTGCTTCGCGTGTCTGACGTCAGAAAATGTAAACGTCACATAAGAAGAAATTTTGTCATTCAATGTTTATTCACAACAATTTTATAATTTCACATGTGGAATGTTGGTATACAGGGTTAAAAAATCAAAAGTTATGTTAGAATTAATTTCAGAAATAGACCGAGATTTAAAATTGTCCAGAAGTTCTTTAGAATATTTAAGAATCCACATATGGTTAATACCACTACGGGAGTAAAATAAATTTGGCGTTTGTTGTTTGTAGTTCAAGATAATAGTAACTTTACTAGAATATTATTTAAGTGAAAAATAAAAATAATCATGTTAATAAAGAAGTGTATATGTTGTGTCCAAAATAATTAGGTATACAGGTAACTATGTGGTCAATATAATCGGGACATAAATACAATCGACTCATGGTTATCGTCCCGTGGAAATGTACTAGGTACAAAACAAAGGAAATTAAACTTGACCGCGAAATATTAACAACCAATCAGATACAATGATTCAAGTAACTTTCTTTCTTTCTTTCTACAGGTATGAATCGCCGTTCTAGATCGGCGCACTCCTACATAGTAGGATGGCTAGTGCGCTATATACAAACTCCCAATGAATATTCATAGAAAAATAAAGTGAATATTACTAAAGATAAAATTAAGGTTTACAAATTATAATTTAAACTCAGATTCAATATTCGAAATATGTAAGCTTTTATCATAAATATAGTAATTAAATAGATGATTTATACAATATATAAAATGATCGTAAAATCACTCTGCTACACAAAGACAAACTTCGTGAATAAATATAGAATAAAAAGATGTGGTATTTATTGAATGAAATAACCATTCACCAGAGACTTAACGATTTAGATGTAAGCAACGGCTTCAACAATGAGCAAAATTCATACCGTTTCTGAATAAGCTATCACGAATAAGCCCCGACACTGCCGTAGCACACGGTACGGTTGGTACGGTTCCGACCGTACCAATTTTAACTGCAGGTACGGAAAACCGTACCAAAAAAAAAACAAAATATAGAAAAAAATATGTAAGAATATTATGCAAACTTCCATACAATAAACGTTTTACATTTACCCCTGCTTGTTTTCATTAAAGAAAAAACGTCTCTCAACGTTAAATGCACAGAGCAACGTCAACGTACGTTACAGTAGTACCGTAATCGGTTTATTGATTAGCAATTAATTATTAATTAATCGGAATCGTTTTGGATGCTGTTGCGAATAATGTTGCTGTTGGTTCATGCTCTAATCTGACACAGACTGAATAAACTGAAATGCCATGATGGATAATCTGAAGAATGCAATAGCCAACAACAATCGCCAGTTAATTGGGTAAATCCCCACAAATGTTGCTAGTTCTTTAAGTTTAACGCTTCAGCTCGGAAACATTTTCACGGTCGAAGAAGCCAGCATTTTTTCTTTTGATGAATTCGGGATCCAATTTCTTGGGGGTATCAAGGTTTGTTTTGAATACGGAAAAAACCCTGGGGGTAAACTTATAATAAAAATAGAAAAGAGGAATAACATTCCTTATTATTCTAACATGAAGAAAAGTTTTCCTTTTTTGCAAGGGTGATTTCGACATTTTTCATCGAAGTAAAATCAGAGATTGGGAGCTCCCCCAACCACTACCGGTAAAAATGATTAGTCCTTTGAAATCTGAAATCTGATTTCTTATGTAATAAAGTTTTCAATCAGGAAAATAAAAAGCCACCAAACTGTTAAAAAGGTGTAATGGAGTAAAATGAAGAGTCGACAACCGAGGCGCTATCCAAAAAAGAATCGCGATCAATGGACAAAAGAAAAACCAGGGAACAAATAAGACACACACAGACAAACAACACCATTCAACATTAAAAACTAAAAACAAATAAGAAACACGGACCCCGAAAAAAGTGGGTCGACCTCAGGTGCTCCGGATGGGTAAGCCGGTCCTTCTTGCAAGACACCCGCTGTCCAAAAAATCACGGTAAGTAATTGCGACAAGCACTCGAGTTAATGTGCATATGCCAAAATCGTACACTATACAAATAGACAAGATACAAATTATCAAGAAACACAGTGCTTTATTTCAGTTCCTTCATCTTGACAGTCACTGCATGATTTTTCAAAAAATCATATCCTACAAGGTCAAGACGACCCCCCCCCCCCCCCCCCCCCCCCCCCCCCAGTGTCGACTTAAGTGGTTGTCTTGAAAGTTCACATTAAAACATGTTAACCCCGCCGCAATTTTGCGCCTGTCCCAAGTTAGGAACCTCTGGCCTTTATTTTTCTTGTCATGATTGTTTTTAATTTTAGTTCTTTTGTGTGTTATGGAGTCTAGAATGCAGTGCATTCCTCTGAACCATCTACATCGTTGTTTCTGGGTCGGCTGCAGCCTACCCCAGTGTGTGAGGATTCCCGTATTGTTTTGACACATTCCCCATTTCCATTCACTTTTCTATTCGCTATAGCTCAATAGTTGTTTGCCGCACTATTGTTTTAATTTTTTAAAAATACTATGATTTTATAACAAATTAACTGACAGAAATCTCTTAAAGCATGAACTTTGCGCAATAATTTGTGGTGAAGTAGCGAGGTATAATATGTCAGTGTTCTCATTCACCGATCTTGTTATGTAAATTACACAAAAATGGAAAACAAACTACAACACCCGCAAGTGATTGGAACACAGACATTCATATTTGATTTTTTTCAAGTTGTCGAGTAAAAAATGCTGCTTTTCAAAAACAACTTTTAGTGCCAGGAAACACCTAGAATGTAGGATTTTAACTCTATTAACCCCAGAGCTTCCCATACCCCCAGCCGTAATGCAGCCTCGCTTGGCGAGGCTGGAGGGACACTTCGTGCCCTTTTGTCTAATTTGCCGAATCCGTTCCATTATTTTTGGGCATGCTACGCCTAAGCCCGACATGGCAAAATGTAAAACAATTCAAACTATAAAACTAACGGATTGATTGATGGATACAAAAATACTGTTATTTTAACAAATTCGAGTTCAAAGTTCAACAGATTTATTTATAGACGAGATCTTCCTATTAGTATACAGAAAACATAATGAGCTCGAAAAAAAACCCCATGTGAAAAACATTATTCAATAAAATAATTATTTATACTATTAGACAGCAAAGTTTAAAGTACACAGATTCTCATGTGAGCTCATCCACCAAATAATGTTGGAAAGTTTACTGGCTTTTGTCGCTATCGGTGGTGATCCATAAATGAAAAAGGAAATACATATGGGAGAAAAATAAACATTTTATCTTAGTTCCTCTCCCCATTACTCACGCTGACTCTTGAAAAATTGTACTTTGCCAAGTATTTTAATGATACGAACTTATTATTCTGTCCGTTGGATTTGATGTCCATGAAAGAAAAGCCTAACCATGCAATCACTTGTATGGTATGTGAAAATTTCCCAAAGACACATCTGTAATTTGAAAAATATCGCCAAACAGCCCAAACGTTTTATCTGTTTGATCTGGGACTATAATTTATACTATTATACTCAGTCTTCACGCTTAACCACAAGTCCTACGGCATTGGCTTGTAAAATTGCTTTCAGGCTTGTAAAATTCTTCTCTACAAGCCAACAGAATCCAACTAAAATTTTCAAAAAACTGAGCTTCAGGCTTGTGGACTCAAAAGTTTATCGTGATTTGTACTTTGCCAAGTGTTTTAATGATACGAACTTATTATTCTGTCCGTTGGATTATATTTCCATGAAAGAAAAGCCTAACAATGCAATCACTTGTATGGTATGTGAAAATTTCCCAAAGACACATCTGTAACTTGAAAAATATCGCCCAACAGCCCAAACTTTTTATCTGTTTGATCTGGGACTATTATACTATTGTAAATTTGTACTTGGTGCCACTAAATATTCTTCTAACATTGCCAGTATGGCAGAACTTGGTCGTTACCCAATTTCTATATTTGTTATTTTGCACTGTCTCTTAAATACTGGCTGCATGTATATTTCTATAAAGACATGAAAGGCCCTCTTTTGAATTTTTCAAAATTAGCATATAAGTCCATCAAAGATGTTGATTGTACCTTTCCATGTACCTTTAACAAACACATTTTTCAGTTTCTAAAATTCATTGGTTTTGACCATGTCTGGAATAATAAAGAAACACTGTCAGAAGGAAAACTCATACAATGTATCTGCAGTCATCATGGTCATGGCAGTGAAAAAAACATGATAAAAAATATTTTTTTCATGTTTATCAGGTGAAGACCAAAGCAAATTACGTACATATTACAAGCTAAAAAAGGAATTTTAGATTTTCATGATTTTACGTTTCCGAGTTATGGGGTTTTATTCATTAAAAAAGGGTGATTTTCCAGTTTTCGGACAATAACTTGAAAACACTTTCACCAATTTGCAAGAAACTTTGGTGAATTGTTTATATCTGTTGATGTGAGCTCCTGTTCGATTTTTATAAATTTCAGATTTTACGTTTCCGGGTTATGGGGTTTTATTCATTAAAAAAAGGGGGATTTTCCAGTTTTCACACAATAACTCAAAAATGCTTTGAGCAGTTTTCATGAAGCTTTGGTGAATTGTTTATATCTATTGACGCAATTTCCCTTTCAATTTTTATAAATTTTAGATTTTACATTTCCGAGTTATGGGATTTTATTCATCAAAAATGGGGGATTTTCCAGTTTTCAGACAATATCTTCAAAGTGCTTTGAGCAGTTTTCATGAAACTTTGGTGACTGGTTTATATCTGTTAAGATAACCTCCCTTTAGTTTTTCATAAATTTCTGATATAACATTGAGAAGTTATTGAACTTTATTCTTTGAAAAAGCGACGGGCGTATCATGCGCTCATGGCGCAGCTGTTTATTGTAACAAAATTAGATTAAAGAGTAAATACACAAATGTGAGATCATTCTATAGAACTTAACTATAACTCTCAGTTTTAACCACACACTTTCCTGAGAAATTGGCTAATACACATGTATGTTCCTTTAATGTCATTGAAGCTTTTATTCATTGTGAATAGACAGAATTGCAGTTTGCTTAGATGATGACTTGATGTTAGATCCTTTTATTGTGCATGTTGTAGTAAGACATTTTTGTTGGATATTATCCAAGATCATGTAATCATGGTAATAGGGTTCATTTATTTTTCATGTTTTTTAGGCCATGCATATATATAACCAAAGAATTAAAAGGTTCTTGATGACCTTACAAAGATTTGCCACTGTATTTGCACCAGCTTCTGTCCTTTTAATTAAAAGAAGAGAAACTGATGCAAATACAGTCATGACAGTCATGACAGTGGCAAACCTAAATCTTCTGATCCCTTTTTTCTTATTAAAAATGCAGGAATAATATTTAACATTTTGGTTAAAATACAAAGATGTTTAATTTATCTTAATTTTGTTCCTGCAGAAATGGAAAAGGCACTTGGAAAGTTGATGGCATCAATAAAGGTTGATAAATGTATATTAGCTGAATAGTACATGTAGTACAGAGAAACAACACACAGAAGTAAGTACTCTGAAGTACAATGAAGTATGTGTTTAAATTTTCTTATTGATGTTTTAACATGCATGGCTAGCTGAAGCCAGCTCCGAGTGCTTGATTTTCTCGTTGTGTTGAAGACCCATTGGTGGCCTTCGGCTGTTTTCTGCTCTTTGGTCAGGTTATTGTCTCTTTGACACATTCCCCATTTCCATTCTCAATTTTATGACATGGTTAACTTCTAATGTGAATAAAGGGAGAAGTGAGGAATACATCATTAAGACAGCATCAAAGTAACACCTATTCAAGATTCTTGTCTAATTTCATTTATGTAGAGAAATTTATTTTAATTTGGCATATTATAAAACACATAAACATAAGCTCTGGTGAGCTTTTAACAAATATAAAATGTATACTAACAGCTAAACAAAGCGTTATGCATATATAAAACATGTACAAGTAACAAAACCAACACGACAGTACTTAAATTGTCAACTTTGAAAGTTAAGATAGATAGAAAATGACCAGTCATACTCCTGATTTGACACAAGCAATTTTAAAGTAAAAGCAAAAAATAGAATGTATAAGAATTAATATGCTATCATTGATTTACATATTCATGCAAACTTCATAGAAGAATCTGAATAGGCTGTTCCCAAAAGTCCTCACAAAGAGTTATTTGACACAAATATGTAAAAGAAAAATCATAATTTGGTATGAGTTACTCCCCCTCTTTTATAGTATTAATGGTTTACTGCAGTAACTTTAATTAGAGCAGTGGATGAAAATCAATTAGAAAACCTGTTCATTGCTTTAATATACAAATGTTTTCAGGATTATACATGTTATAATTGACTTTATTCCTACATGTGTAGTTAACATGCTCAAATACAAGACAATGTGTAGTGACAAAATCCAAATATAACATTTGTACTTGAGAATTACCAGGAAATCTTATGTTTCCCAACATTCTGCATGGGAATATATAAATTGAATATAACAGTCTGTTTTCTGAAAAAAAGTTTTTTAATTCTATAATGACAGCTATCGTGCATATTTCATTATAGAAATTTCACAATAATTTAGTCAAGGAAGGCCATAAATTATAGGATAATGTTGTGTTTAGTATTGTCTATGCAGAAGAAGTTGCAAGGGTTGAAGAAATAGTCACCATTATTCTTGTTATTATACTGACTGTCATGTTTTTTAACCAAATTGAATAAAAGAATAATAGAATAATATTCGTTATTCATAAAAAAGGTGACAAACAAAAAGGCAAAAAGTTAAAGCATTACATTAAAAATTAAAAACCAATTGTTCAGAGAACAATTGAAGGTCTTTCCACAGCAATTTTTAAATTTATTGAAAAGAAGCTAGTTCGTGTTTACTCAAAGTTAAAATTGGCATCTTATCATCAGTTTCTTCATACTGATGCGATAAATAAGTGGTTTCTATATACTTCTGAGTGAAATAAGGGAGATAATTAGCTACTTCCGGTGAAGTAAATGTCACTTCCGGTCTCATATAATAGCTTCTTTCACACTGATTCCAAAAATATATAGTTTCTATATACTTTTGCTTGTAAACCAGAAGATAATTGGCCACTTCCGGTTTATCGAAAGTCATTTCTAGTCTTCAGTGATAAGTTAATGTATTACAATTACAAAATATATGGATTCCGAGTACTTTTCCATGAAGAAAGTGCAAAAATGGCTACTTCCGGTTTTCTCAAGGTCACTTCCGGTTGTCATTTTTCAAGGTATAATGTCATCCAACCGTTTGTAAAAGGTCATATGGCTTTATAATGAACCAAGTTGAAGTAATAATCAATTAACCTTATAATTGAACATTTCAGGGGCACTAACTCCTATAAGATGCCATTAGATTGTTTCAGACCAAATGTAACATATCTTCATTACAATAAAGCAAACATTTTGCACTTGTTGTTTCATATATATCATGTATATCTTTAAAAGTGAATGAGAAAATGCAAAAACAAGGAAAAGTCAAAATTGAGAACTTGACCTTGACCTCATTTTCTAAGTTAGGACCCAGGGACCTCAAATAAAAAGATTTCAGGGTTATACGTTTAACGGTTTATGAGTTAAAAAAACATACCGACAAATTTATTTGGTAAAGGTAGATAACTCCTTTAAAATTTCATCGAATTGCTTCGATCCAAATTAGCCAAAAATTCCTGAGGATGTAACGAACAATTTAGAAAAAGAATTTTGTCGATATCTTTTTTTGTTTAGAAGGAGATGCATACACTTGATAAACAGTGAATAGGGAGATAACTCTTACAAAGAAAATTGTTCTGCTTAAAATGGGTGAAAATAAAAAGCGCATAAACTGTATGATACTATATAAGAAATATCTTAGCGACATATTGCGAAACAAAAATTTTACGCGAGAACAAAATTTGGCAGAAGAAAAAAATAATAATCAGAACAAATACAATAGGTCTTTCCACAGAAAAGTGGAAAGACTTAATAAATGGGGAAAGTGTCCACGGGACACAGATGATGCCCCAGCTTGCATATAGCGTTATAAAGGGACATAACTCAAGAACAATAAAAGTGACACCACCAAAATTCAAATTTGATCTGTGTTTTGTGGTAATAAGCATTGACATGATTAAGGCAAACAAAAGTTAGAGAACGGAAACGAAAAATTCAGCAATTTTTCCATTTGTAAAGGGCCATAACTCTTAAGACAGGTAGCAGTGATGCCACCCGAATTCAAACCTGATCAGTGTTTTGTGGTAATAAGCATTGTGTATACCTTTCATAACATTTGGAGTGGCCTCGGCGGCCGAGTGGTCTAAGCAGTTACTACTGTAATCACTAGCCAGTCAACACTGAGGTTGTGAGTTCGAACCCCGCTCGTGCGGGTGCACTCGACTCCAATCTTAATTGACTAGGATTGTCAGTTTTCCTATCGAAGGTCTGTGGTTTTCTCTAGGCACTCCGGCTTCCTCCACCAATAAAAACTGGCCGCCACGAAATAGCCCATAAACGGTGCTTAAAAGTGGCATTAAAACACCAAAAATCAAATCAAATCAAATCATAACATTTGGTTGAGGCAAACTAAAGTTAGAGAACAGAAACCAATATTGGGACGTACAGATGTATGAACAGACAGATGTACAGATGGACAAGGGTAAAACTTAATGCCCCCTCCGCTACGGCAGGGCATTAAAAGTAAGCAAAAGGTATTTATTCAGTTACATAGAACATGAAACATTCTTACATAATTATTTCCCCTATAATTTTTCTTTTTTTCATTTTACACATTCAGCTTGGAAGCAATGATGACCATGGCAACCAGTATTGACTCTGTAATCAATTTAAATGATGGAATTGCAATGCCACTGTTTGGTCTGGGAACAGCATGGACAAATGAGTGTTCACAAGCAGTTTCTTATGCCATTGAACAGGGATACAGAATGATTGATACTGCTCAGAGATATGGGTAAAACATAAAAAAATTGATGTTTATTTTAAAAAAGACAAAATAAATCTTGAGATATGCCCTGGAAAAATGTTGTGCATTGGTCGGCTGTTACCTGTTTTTATTATTATTCAGATGAAAGAGGCAACTTTATTTGCTGAACTTTTCCAAACCGAAAGGATTTTTTTCAGAAAATTTGGGTTAAAACAGTTTATGTATTGCAATAAAGATATTTGAGCTTACCTGGCAGAAAAAATAACTTTAAAAAAATCATCTGATAAAATATATGAAGATTCAAGATCATATACATTTTTGGTAGCATTATTAATTTTGATGTTTTTTATTTAACTTAAAAAGAAATGGTCTCACTAAGTACTCACTTTTAACAAGATTTTGAACTAGAATCGCCAATTTACTTTGAACTGATCATAACAAAACTGAACAAAAGATTAGTTGATTTTTTCAGTCCATTTTCTGGCATATTTTCGTTATAGCAAATTGAGTACAAGTCAGATACTACTTTTTTGTAGTATTTTAATATCTACAGAGATCAATAAAATTGTCTAAAAAGTAACTGAACAGTACTGGATTGGTCATTTGCAGAGTATCAGAACAATACTGAATTCATGGCCAGGAAAATATCTCAAAAATAATTCACTTAAAATCTTAAAAAATCATCAAATTTGTTATGATCAGATATTTCAGATTGCATCAAGAATAAGATGATAATTTCAGACTTAAGGATGTACTTAGGTGAAATTCAAAGAATCAAGAATTTAAAATTGATACTTTAAGTTGGAAGAGCATTAGTTAAGGAACAAAATAAGCTAAAAATATTGATAGGTCATGGAGCTCCTTTTCGAGATATTTTATTTTTAAAATATGGCGGGAAAAGGCTGACTCGGACTTTTACCTTATATTTGTATTGGTGTTATTAGGGTCTCAAATCAAAAGAATAAAAATCAAGAATCTGCTTAAATTTTGGCAAATGACCTTTTATGGGCTATTAAGTATTGTATGAAAAGATAAATGGGTGTTATAGGGCAAAATATTTTACATTGTATCATATGGAAAAAAACCAAGGAGTCCGAAAATCTGATACAAATTCCAAAACATCACCTAAGTACATCCTTAAATTCAAATACTAGCAATAAATAGAATATTATACGTTCACGAGCGTAATTGGTGGTACACTGCAATTGGCTTTCTGTAAATTTTATTACATATTACTGGCTTCTGTATTAAGAAATTATTGAATATTTAAATTTGGTCTGGAATTTTATAATGTTGATTTGTACTGTGTTGTGATTTTTCTATTTGCCGGGTAGTCATTTACTGGTTGAAAATTTTTATTCTTTGCATGACATGGAGGGCAACTTCTTGTTTGTAAATACATGTACCCTAATACCCTTTGAATAACAGTAATAGTCTTCCAAGATGTTGTCTGCTCATTATAGTGTTAATATTTCCAAATTATATTCATTCATTAAGTTTGAAATAAAGGAAAATACTTATGTATTGCAGAAACGAGGAAGATGTTGGTAAAGGCATAGCTATGAGCGGTAAAGATAGGAAAGATCTATTTATAGTAACCAAGCAATGGCAGAATGGACATGATGCCTGTATTCAGGGTTTACAGAGAAGTTTAGTTAGGTAAAACATATAAAAAGTGAGAGTTATAATGATTTATTAATTATATTCCTTTGTTTATATTCATTTGTATACTTGATTATAGAGGGAAAAAAATGTTGAATAGACAGAGTTATAGTCCTTTATTGGAACTATGCAACACTTGTAGACTTGACCTTCAGAGAGGATTCATATGTGAAATAATACGTCATGGAAGGGTTTTAGCTTCTTTTGTTTGTATCTAAGTAAAACTTGCAAAAAAAATAAAGTTACAGTACATGCAAGGAAACAGAATTAAACATTTATCTTGCCATTGTTGAATGAATAACTGTGATATTCTGTTAATGACGAAAGTTTGCCTCCATTTATTTATGCCATTTTAGAAACAATGGTAAAAAATGTGAGATTTTTTATTGCAATTCAGGAAATGCTGTAAACACAAAATGTTTGAAGTTTGTATTTTTCCTGAAACTTATCCCAGTGCTTTTAAAGCAATAATCACAAACATTTCTGAAATACCAGTATACTTATCGAGTATACACAGCAAACATGTTTTAAAAGCCATATTCTGTTTGTGCCTGTCCCAAGTCAGGAGCCTGTAATTCAGTGGTTGTCGTTGTTGCTGTATATCATAATTGTTTTTCATTCCTTGTTTTGTACATTAATCATGCCATTAGTTTTCTTGTTTGATTTGTTTTACATTAAATTTTGTCATTTCAGGGCCTTTTATAGCTTACTATGCAGAAAAGGTTTTGCTCATTATTGAAGGCAGTACAGTGACCTATAGTTGTTAAATTCTGTCATTTGGTCTCTGTTGGAGAGTCGTCCCATAGGCAATCATACCACATCTTCATATTTTTATATTGAGATGTTTGTAATGAAATGCCTGAAATCACTAGCATTCTCTGAAAATTCACCAAGTGTTTTGCGAAATGACCTTGATCTTATGTTGTGCTCTTACAACACTGTCCCAGGTTAGGAGGAGGGTTGAATGCTCACAAACATGTTTAACTGACTATATTCTATATGTGAATGTCCCAAGTGACGTCAGGAGCATGTAATTCAGTGCTTGTTGTTGGTTGCTGTCATATTTGTTTTTTTGTTTTGTCATAAATCAGTCCCTTGGTGTTTTGTTTGAATTGTTTCACATTTTGTCATGTTTGGGCCTTTTATAGTTGACTATATGGTATTAGTTTTGCTCATTGTTTAAGGCAGTACACATGATACAGTGACATAAAGTGACTTATTTTTCCTTCATTCAGACTCTGTTGGATACTTGTCTTATCGACATATAAGTCAAATGCCAAGTGAGTCAATAAGCAGTTAAAATTGAAATAAAATCCACCTACTTGCAACATTTTTCACCCAAAATGAGAACTTCTCGCTGTATTGAAGACTCATTGGTGGCCTTGGACTGTTTTCTGAGCTGGTTGGGTTGTTATCTCTTTGACACAATCCCCGTTACCATTCTCAATTTTATTCTCATCAAGTTTATTGTAACCAGTGTTTTCAGAGTTTTATTTGTGATGTTTAATACATTTGGGATTTGTAATTTCAGATTAGATATGGATTATATAGACCTGTTTCTGATTCATGGACCAAGAGAGGGAAGGAATGTAGAGACTTACAAAGCAATGTTGGAACTGAAGAAACAAGGTTTGGTCAGGTGATCTGTTGTTTGAAATACTTCTGATTTTAGGTAGAGACTGACCAGAGCCAGTGTATTTGTCACTTTGAAAATTCAAAATGTCAGAAATTCTTACATTGGATATCTAGAATTTGGTTAATATATCTTTTTATATCTGAGGTCCTTAGTAACAATCTCTATAAGGGGTTATATCCCCTTTCCAAGGTAAATATAAAATTACAATACTTGGCCCATTAATAAATTTTAAAACTAAAACATCATGTTTAAAGATTGGTATAAGTAAACAAAGATTTGTGCTCACGCAATCACATTTCTGTGAAAACCTAATTTGGCATATACTTAAAAAAAAGTTCACATAGTGATGAAAATGTTTACTAAGTTTCAACTTCGTGTGACCACAACTTTGTAGTAAATATAACAGTTATTGAATTTCCAATAAAGATATTAAAGGTCAAGATGAAGGTGATGTTGAGTGTCATGGTAAAAAACTTTGTAATAAGATAAAAAAAACTGAACTTCATGTTAGATTTTGGTAACTACCATCCTGACTGGTATTTATGTTCTTTAAATAAGTCAGAGCATTTAACATTAAGGATGTACTTAGTTGAGGTTTAGGAATTTTTGCCAAATGTTCGGACTCCTTGGTTTTTTTCCTACGATACAGGGTAAAATATTTTGCCCCATAACACCCATTTTTCTTTTCATATAAGACTTCAATATCTCATAAAAGGTAATTTACCAAAATTTAAGCAGATTCTAGATTTCCTTTATTTCGATTTGAGACCCAAATAATACCAATGCAAATACAAGGTAAAAGTCTGAGTCAGCCTTTTCCTGCCATTTTGAAAAAAAATTAAATATCTCGAAAAGGATCTCCATAACCAGTCAGAGATATAACTCTATAGGGGTATTACAGAAAATAACTTGTGTGTGTTATTACAGATACTTTCATGAGTTATCTACTCTTTATTCCTAAAATTTTCTAAATCTGTAATAACATATGTTTGTTATTTGTAAAATAAATCAAAAATATTTTAATTTATAGTGGACTCTAGGGAACTCTTCAGACTTTGCACTGAAACTAAATGCATAGCCTTGATAACTAATTTTTAAATTATATTAATATATTTTTGATTAACCATGGTAAATCAATGAGACAAGGCTTTTAAGGGATAAACTTAGCTGTAATAACAAGGCTTAGTTATTAAAGGAATGTAACTTATTATATGAGACACTTGGGAATTACTGGGAAGCTTGCGCAGAACCTCATTACATGCTCTGGTCATTATTTCTTACAATAAATTAAAATATATTGTAATTAAGCATGATGTATGTCTCAGCAAATGCTTTGGAGTGATATAGAGAAGCTGTGATAACACCCTTTAGTTATTACAGGCATATTTTTTCTGTAATAACATAGGTATACTATGCAAAATTGTCAAACTATGAACTGTTATATCTTTCTATAGTTAAGTATACATAAAGACAATAGTAATATCAATAGAACTTGCATACATTTTAACTAAACTAATGATGTATATTGTCCCTTTGAAACATGTAACATACATATATGTTATCACAGTTCTTTGATTTTTCAGTCCACAATAACAAATGTATGTTATTTTTCTGTAATAACCCTATAGAGTTATATCCCTGACTGATAACCTATCAATATTTTTAGCTTATTTTGTTCCTTAACTAATGCTCTTCCGACTTATAGTATCAATTTTAAATTCTAGATTTTTTTAATTTCACCTAAGTTCATCCTTAAGTCATAGAAATTCACAGACTTCTCTAATGAAAAAAGTACAATAAAGAGAGAGTATCACACCATACTATGGATTCATTTAATTTCATGGATTGAGAAAAAATTATATTTTCGTGATATTTGATTTCATGGTTTTGCAATAGTTTGTATACAAGGCTTTATACAATATAAACTTCATTGTCCATTTAAATTTGTGGTTTCCCTATACCCACAAAATTAGTGAAAATTGTTACCCCACGAATTATAATGAATCCACAGTAGTTTGTGTCAGATGCTGATCAAACAGTATTTGAGAGCAAAACGTTATGTGCGGTATTAATCAATGAAACATCAACCCAACTACACAAACAATGAATAGATATCTAGAGGACAACATTAACATTTTCAACAATAGACAATGCCAACCACTGAATCATCCTGTTGGAGTCGTCAATGTCAGAATAAAATTCAAAAGAGACTATCAAAAGGTCTGCCATAAACACCAATGAATTAACATATAATTATAGTATTTCTATTTTGTAGGTCAGTTGGGGTTTCCAATTTCAATATTCATCACTTAGAAGGTCTAAGAAATGCAGGGTTACCAACCCCATCAGTTAATCAGATTGAACTGCATCCATGGCTACAGCCAAGGGAGATAATTGATTATTGTAAAAAACATAACATAACTATAATGGGTTATTCCCCTTTAGTGAAAAGCAAAATGTTGAAGAACCAACAAATCTGTGATCTTGCCAAAAAGTAAGTTATTCAGCATCTATATTATTTGTATTGAATTTCTTTAAGCTGTCAATATATGATATGTTAACAAAATTTTTTCAATTTTCAATAATTCCCCTTTTTTGTTGAGGCTTCGAAAAAGCGAGACATAGCGATCCTACATTCCGTCGTCGTCTGCGGCGTCCACAAATATTCACTCTGTGGTTAAAGTTTTTGAAATTTTAATAACTTTCTTAAACTATCCTGGATTTCTACCAAACTTGGACAGAAGTTTGTTTATGATCAAAAGCTAGTACCTAGAAGGAAATTTTTATTAAAATTTTGCACTTGTTTATTCATATTTTACTTATAAATGGACTTAGTTTTTCTTCCAGTTAACATTAGATACAGTCTGCAGTTACATTTTTTAAAACATTTATTAGATTCATAAACTATCCTGGATTTTTACCAAACTTGGACAGAAGCTTCTTACAATAAAAAAATTGTATCGAGAGGAATATTTTTATTAAATTTTTTCCTCATCTCATTTTTGTTGAGCCTGCGATTAACAGCAAAAGTAGGCGAGACACTAGGTTCCGCGGAACCCTTACAAATTTTGTTTACTTCCTAGTAAATTTCAAATCAGTTCTTACAATTTAAAAAAAAGTTTTACAGTTAAATTCAAAATTATGTTATGAAACCACACAACAGAATTTCATGAAACTTTGGAGTTAATGAGGACATAATATGTTGATGTGCATATCAGCAAGAAATTTTTATCAGTTTTTTTTTTTATGCCCCCGCCGTAGTGCAGGGGGCATTAAGTTTTACCCTTGTCCGTCTGTACGTACATACGTACGTACGGACATATGTATATGTACGTACGTCCCAAAATTGGTTTCCATTCTCTAACTTAAGTTTGCCTCAACCAAATGTTATGAAACTTATACACAATGCTTATTACCACAAAACACAGATCAAGTTTAAATTTTGGTGGCGTCACTTGTACTGTTCTAGAGTTATGCCCCTTTACAAATGGAAAATTGCTGAATTTATCGATTCCGTTCTCTAACTTTAGTTTGCCTCAACCAAATATTATGAAACTTATACACAACGCTTATTATCACAAAACACAGATCAAGTTTAAATTTTGGTGGCGTCACTTTTACCGTTCTAGAGTTATGCCCCTTTACAAATGGAAAAATTGCTGAATTTTTTCGTTTCCGTTCTCTAACTTTATTTTTTTTTTATTCAGAAGAAATAGTTCATTTAAACACCATATATTATTAATAACTTTTATTTTTCACTCAAAACCTGATAAATTCGTAACACTGTACATAATTTTTTTTTTTATTACTATTTTCCACTCAGAACCCAAATTTTGTTTTTATGCCCACGCCGTAGCGGAGGGGGCATTAAGTTTTACCCTTGTCCATCTGTGCGTACATACATACGTACGTCCCAAAATTGGTTTCCGTTCTCTAATTTTAGTTTGCCTCAACCAAATGTTATGAAACTTATACACAATGCTTATTACCACAAAACACAGATCAAGTTTGAATTTTGGTGGCGTCACTTTTACCGTTCTAGAGTTATGCTCCTTTTCAAATGGAAAAATTTGCTGAATTTTTCGTTTCCGTTCTCTAACTTTAGTTTGCCTCAACCAAATGTTATGAAACTTCTACACAATGCTTATTACCACAAAACACAGATCAAATTTGAATTTTGGTGGCGTCTAGAGTTATGCACCTTTAAAAATGGAAAAATTGCAAAATTTTTATTTTCTTCTAAATATCAAGTAATTTTTAAAATTGGAGTTATCTTCCTTTGACCATGATTATCGTTGAATCAACTACAATCAATGGCTCCAGACCACAATTAATTATCCGGCTTTTCGTTGTCCACGAATATAGTTCCCTTTAATTAAAGTGTATTTTTTCTTTATTATGCCCCTGCCGTAGCGGAGGGGGCATTAAGTTTTACCCTTGTCCGTCTATAGGTACATACGTCCCAAAATTGGTTTCCGTTCTCTAACTTTAGTTTGCCTCAACCAAATGTTATGAAACTTATACACAATGCTTATTACCACAAAACACAGATCAAGATTGAATTTTGGTGGTGTCACTTGTACTGTTCTAGAGTTATGCCCCTTTACAAATGGATGCTGAATTTATCGTTTCCGTTCTCTAACTTTAGTTTGCCTCAACCAAATGTTATGAAACTTATACACAATGCTTATTACCACAAAACACAGATCAAGTTTGAATTTTGGTGGCGTCACTTTAACCGTTCTAGAGTTATGCCCCTTTACAAATGGAAAAATTGCTGAATTTTTCGTTTCCGTTCTCTAACTTTAGTTTGCCTCAAACAAATGTTATGAAACTTATATACAATGCTTATTACCACAAAACACAGATCAAGGTTGAATTTTGGTGGCGTCACTTCAACTGTTCTAGAGTTATGCCCCTTTAGAAATGGAAAAATTGCAAAATTATTATTTTCTTCTAAATATCAAGTAATTTTTAAAATTGGAGTTATCTTCCTTTGTCCATGATTATAGTTGAATCAACTACAATCAATGCTTTATGCAATGCAATGTTTAATTTTGACTTCCACTGATAATACACAGATCAAGTTGAATTTGGGTAGCGTCACTTTAACCGTTCTTCAGTTATGTCCCTTTATAACTATATGATATGCAAGCGGGGGCATCATCTGTGTCCACATGTGGAGACTATCCACATTTATTGAGTTATGAATCTTTGATCTTAGGAATAGGGTGAGATTTTGTTTGCCCATGGCCAGTGACAATGGGGGGTGGGGTATGTGAGCGTGCTCACAAACATGACAAAGGTTCTTTACCGGTAATTTGAATATGAATTTTCAAAAATTTTCAAGTCAATATAAACATTAGTTTTGACTTCACAATTTGCTTAAACATGTTAAAAGCATGTTGATCATGGCCATTAATGTATGAACCATAAAAGATATAGTCATACAGCCTTTTTATTATCTGAGAAATTACGTCATACATTAATTTTTCCTCCACTGAGAAACTCCTATATCATTCGAGTAAAATATTGATACAGGAAATTCAAAGGTAAATTTTAGAAAATAGCGATAAAACAGCAAATATAGTGTATGGCATTGGTACTTTTACACTAATGATGAAATACTTTCAAAACAATAAAGAACTTATTTTATTTTCTATCAATGATACAATTAATTTTTAAATTGAATATAATAATCATGATAATTTTTGTCAACCTTTGATTAATACATAAATTCTTTGTAGATACAATAAAACACCTGCACAGATTTTAATACTAAATTGAATATTATAATCATGATAATTTTTGTCAACCTTTGATTAATACATAAATTCTTTATAGATACAATAAAACACCTGCACAGATTTTAATACGATGGAGTGTTCAGCATGGATATATTACCATTCCAAAGTCTTCCAAGCCTAACAGAATCAAAGAAAATATGCAGGTTTTTGATTGGACTATGACTGAAGATGATATGGAGTTTCTTGTAAGGATTATCTTCATGTAAAAAAATATATATGTGTCAACGCTAAATCATCCAGAGTTTCCAGGATTTGATATTTTCAATTAAATCTTCTAATGATTTTCTAAATCACACAACGCTGCTGACAGTAACTTTTTTAACCAGTTGTCCTTTTTTATTTACAAAGGTAATAACAGAAACTCCCAGGCAAATAAAAAAAGGGGGATTTTGTATTATTGAACAAATAAGTTGTTTTTTCATAATTCAGTTGTGTATAAATTTGATAGAAAAGCTTGATAATTTGCAGCAATTTTTGAAAAGGATTGATTAATGGACTGAAAGAATGTTTACAAAGCTTATATAATATGGAAAGAGCATAAAACAGGCTATTATTTGAACTTGGAATTATTTTTAATTATGGAATTTGCATTATTTCTTGTGCTTGAAATTTTTAATGAATTCCATGTTTATTCTGTATTATAATGTTCTGTGCTGCGCACAACACTTTCTATTACAAAGAAGATAGCATATTTTCAATAGAATATACTGTGCCGCGCACAACACTATCTATACAAAATACATTGTGTGGAAAGTGTTATGCACCACTCAAAACATAATAATACTTAATAAACATGGAATTTATCAAAAATTTCAAACACATGAAATTATGCAAATTCCATAATTAAAAATAATTCCAAGTTCAAATAATAGCCTGTTATAATTTAACCCATCACAGTGCACCAGAGTAATTGATTTCTTATGAAAATCTGTTTTATTAATTACAGTGTATTGGGATAAAATTTTGTCCTGATATTAAATGCATTATATTAACATGTTTAAACATCTAAAAAATTATTAAGACCGTAGAAATAATCCGTTATGTTTGTGTGCCCTTAGAATAGACAGTCAAAACTGACCTTGAAATGTTGTTTACGCAAATAATTTTGCGAAGCGAAACCTATGTTAAAAGCCAATTACCATAAGTTAGTTTTCCTTTTTTTTTCATAATTTCGTAAGATTTTCCATCACTTAGATCATGCAGATGAAACGGACAATGGACCCGTCCAAACGAGAAAGACGTGAATTGAAAAGTAACAAATATCCACAAACAATTTGGAATGTTCTTGTTTATAGATTGAATAAAATATTCGTCTTTATGGATATCAAAAGCGAGATTGCCTGCCAAAGGATGAAGAAGATATCCTCGTTTTTCCTTTTGACGGGTCTACTACGTTCACAACATGGATGGTCAAGTTTTACTTTCTTTCCAAGCATTACACAGTACTATTGAAGAATTTCTTATCTATTTTATAGTTTTTGTCAAATTTCATGCAAGATGTATTTGAATAGACCAGATGTTTGCACAGGTGTTAATTGAGCTTCCTCTATAATGATTTACTTTCCTTTTAATATAAGAGCTAAAGATTAGATTGACATCTTAATGGATCATGATAATTATTGTCACATAAACTTCTGAGAAGAACCTACTTTAAAAGCTCCAAGCATCCTCCAAGCATGCTTGGAGCTTCCTCGCAAGAATAAATCTATGATCCCTTAGCAACTGTAACTAATGACATACGTAGACAATAACAAATGCAAATTTATATACTAACTATTCAAAAAATCTTCTCATAAAAATTGCCCATTGGCAGATTTTAACTAGCCAACACACGTCATATAGACCATTGCACATCAGCAAACAGTTCATTGCACTTTGGCGCAGACCATCTCACTTCAGCGTGACATCGAACTCCAGCGTCTCCATCGCATCTCACAGTCCTCCATATATATATGAGATGATACACCATATACCTTCTTTTTTCACTCATCATAATTACACTCAAATGGTATATATACATGTACTAACATCTATTTGAAATGTTATATTAGGAGCTATAAACTTGAAGTTCAATTATTTTTTAACTAATGACAAAACTTCTATAAACATACAATATTTTCAAATCAAAGTTACCATCTGTTCATTTTATGTTGTAGGATCAAAATAATGTTGAGGAGATAAGGTGTGCTTGGGATGCAATAAACTCAGAATGGCATGGATGAAATGCGTTTAGAAAATATTAGACATGGTATGTTTATTTTAAGATAATATATATTATTAAGCTAAATTAATGTTTGTCCGTTAAAATTATAAAGAAAACGTCAGAACAAGCTTGCTTTAGTATGTTTTTGCAGTTTTTATTCCCCAGCTGCAAGGCAAAGGGGGCATTAAGTGTTACCCTTGACCGTCCGTCCGTCTTTCTGTCTGTCTGTCCTTCCATCCATCCCTCCTACCTTCCGTCCCAAAAGTACTTTCAAATATTATAAGAAAGCTTGAGTAGGGGACGCAGATGATGATTCGTGTCCTCAGACACATTCTTATTTTATTTGAGTCAATTTTTTGCCACTAAATATAGGTAAATAAATACCATTTACTAAAAGACAACTTTTTGGCAAAAGAATGTTCCAATAAACTCAGAGTTTAAAAATACCACTGAGAGTTCATTATTGTAAGATACAAATATTTTGTGTATTTTTTATTATTTCAAAAATTTAAAATGAGATAGGGTTTTGCACCAAAAAAAATCACGTTTTATTGCGAACCCAATGATACTTTTCCACAGATTCACCTGCAAGTTACCTGTCGATTTAAACTTTTGTAAGTTCTTTTGTCCCATCTAATAAATACAATAGCTGTTGTTCTCTGTGTAGTTTATTTGATGGGACCTTTAAATTTCTTCCAAGAGAAATCTATCACTCACTGATTAATTTACCTGAACAAAAATTGAACTGTCAAAAATGAAAATACATGTACAAATACTTCAAAAAAAACTGCATGTGGTGTTGTATTAATTCAATATCAATAATTCATTTTTAATAGTTTCAATATAAACACTGATTCAAAAATTAAAAGTTGATTTCTGAAATTTTTTTTTATATTTTCCCTATTAAAATTTGCTTTTTTTGTGTGTTTGACAAATAAAAACTTGAAAATTATTGTGTTTAAATTAAGGTCTTGATAAATGTATTCTATAACTGAACAACAACAAAAACATGCAAATTCATTGGAACAATACTAAAAATTTTGTCAGAAATAAACTTTTTATAATTAAGTCTCCCAAACGAAGTTTGGGAAGACTTATTGGTTTTGCTCAGTTCTTATTATTATTATTCTTCTTCTTCTTCTTCTGCCGCTTTTAAATTTGAACTTGTCCGCACCCGTTCTCCAAAACCGCTTGTCAGATTAACTTAGGGTTTCACAATATGCTAGACTAACATGTCTAGTGGTGCAATCAGGGTTTTGTTTGTGCATTGGGGTTTATAAATGGGTACTTTGAGGGGCAAAAAGAAAGGAGGGTTTTACTATAGAACCCTATGGGATTTTATTTTTTTAAATTTTCAAATGATTATAAATTGAAAACCGTTTGTGATAGACACAATCTTTTTAATTGAAAATGTTCTAAATGATAAAGCACATTAAATGAAATACAGGGTTAGTCCCCAGGGGTCACCCCCACCCCCTGCCATTTAAGAAAGTTCTAATATCTTTTAAATGGTCGAGATCCCCACCCCTAAACCATATATATTCTGGTTTGTCAAGCTAAGATGGTTTGAATGATATACAGGGTTAGTCCCCAGGGGTCATCCCGACCCTCTGCCATTTGAGAAAGTTCTAATATCTTGTAAATGGTCGAGATCCCCACCCCTAAACCATATATATTTTGGTTTGTCATGCTAAGATGGTTTGAATGATATACAGGGTTAGTCCCCAGGGGGCCTCCCCACCCCCTGCCATTTGAGAAAGTTCTAATATCTTGTAAATGGTCAAGATCCCCACCCCTAAACCATATATATTCTGGTTTGTCATGATAAAGCACATCAAATGAAATACAGGTTTAGTCCCCAGGAGTCACACCCACCCCCTGCCATTTAAGAAAGTTCTAATATCTTGTAAGTGGTCAAGATCCCCACCCCTAAACCATATATATTCTGGTTTGTCATGCGAAGATGGTTTGAATGATATACAGGGTTAGTCCCCAGGGGTCACCCCCACGCCCTGCTATTTAAGAAAGTTCTAATAATTTGTAAGTGGCCAAGATCCCCAACCCTTAACCATATATATTCTGGTTTGTCATACCAAGATGGTGTGAATGATATACAGGGTTAGTCCCCAGGGGTCACCCCAATCCCCTGCCATTTGAGAAAGTTCTAATATCTTGTAAATGGTCGAGATCCCCACCCCTAAACCATATATATTCCTGTTCATCATGTCTCGAACATTTGAATGACGTATACGGTCAGTCCCCAGGGGTTCCCCCCACCCTCAATGTTCTAATATCTTGTAAATGGTTGAGATCCCCACCCCTTAACCATATATATTCCTGTTCGTTGTGTCTCTAGCATTTGAATGATGTATAGGGTCAGTCCCCAGGGGTTCCCCCCACCCCCAATGTTCTTGTATCTTGTAAATGGTCGAGATCCCCACCCCTAAACCATATATATTCTGGTTTGTCATGCCAAGATGATTTAAATGATATACAGGGTTAGTCCCCAGGCATCACTAATGCATATACTTTACTGGACCAAACCAATTTTCACTGGTCTTTGTCCAATGTCAGGCGACACTGGGAATTACGAATTATGGGAGCTTCGTTTGGGAGACTTCGTAACAGCATCCTGTTACAATCATTTCTTGTTGAATCAGTGTTTATATTGAACAGATTGAAAATATATTATTGATATTGATTAAATACAATATTGCATGCAGTTTATGCGAGTTTATACAACTATTTCCCCCAAAAAAGAAGATAATTTTTTGGTCAGGTAAATTAATCAATGAGTGATAGATTTCTCCTAGAAGAAATTTAAAGGTCCCAGTGAAAAACTACACAGAGAACAATAAGTATTGTATTTATTCAATAGGACAAGAGAATAGACAAAAGTTTAAATACCCTGGTCAAGAGGCAGACGACTCTGTGGAAGACTTTCATTTGGTTCGCAATAAATGTTGACAGCATTACTTGTATGCAGCATTTCTTGAAATCCAAATAATAAATCATTTTTTCCATAGTTCAACAATCAATTCTTTTTATATAGATAAGCAAAAAAAAAAAAATCCATATTTATGGCATCAGAGTACATGGAGTATACAGTCGAACCTTGTTGTGTCGAACTCGGTTGTGTCGAAAAACTCGGATGAGTCGATGTAATTTCTCAGTCCCAGGAAAAATTTCTGTTTGATCAATGCATAATTACCTCTGATGAATCGAAATTCGGTTGATTTGAATACTCAGTTAAGTCCAGTAAATGTTATAGTCCTGTCGATGTAATATTAATGTAAATTGACCCCCGTGTCTCGAAGTTGGAAAGTAAGAATTTTCGAAAGATGCAGCAGACCTAATGATAAAAATTCAAATCGGATGTATTTTTTATGTAACCTAATAATTTTCAATAGAGATTAAAGATGAGTAAACATACTTGTTTGTATAACAGTTAAAATTATATGTTTGTGGTGACCGGTAATTAACACCTTTGTTGATCCTTCAAGCGGAACGTTAATGTGTTAAACAAACACGATAAAAACAAAACGAATTTAAATGACCCAAGCCGAGATTAATTAAATGATTCGTAAAACTTTATATTTATTAATTACAATAAATAAAAGGATTAAGACAATTATGATAAATTCATGATAATTTAATGTAAAGCAGACAACCTCATCAGAGACTGTTCAGAACATATTTCGTTCCACGAGTGATTTCATGATTTATAGTGACTGATCTTTATAAATATTTATGTAGACTATTGATTTTGTTTGTGCATGATTTGTATCTGTACTTGTGTGTTTAGTTATTATGAAGGACCAGAAATGGAGATTGACTACACAATCATAAAGTGTCATATCGAAAAAAGGCACACTGTTCAAAGTATCTAGTTTACACAAGTCTCATACCATAAATCATGCATTCCAAATTTATGGGGGCACACTCAACCTCGGATGAGTCGAACCTCGAATAAGTCGAATACTTTGGTCTGGTCCCTTCGACTTCGACACAATGAGGTTCAACTGTATATCAATTTTATGGGATGATTCAACAAGTTTATTTTCACAGATGTTATATCAAGCCCTATTTAAGAAATACTTATTTCATGTTATGCTCTTTGCTCTTTTTTTAAGCCCCCGCCGTAGCGGAGGGGGCATTAAGTTTTACCCTTGTCTGTCCCTATGTCCGTACGTCCCAAAGTTGGTTTCCTTTCTCTAACTTTAGTTTGCCTCAACCAAATGTTATGAAACTTATACACAATGCTTATTACCACAAAAAACAGATCAAGTTTGAATTTTGGTTGCGTCACTTTAACCGTTCTAGAGTTATGCCCCTTTACAAATGGAAAAATTGCTGAATTTTTCATTTCCGTTCTCTGACTTATGTTTGCCTCAACCAAATGTTATGAAACTTATACACAATACTTATTACCACAAACTGAGATCAAGTACAAATTTGGGTAGTGTCACTTTTACTGTTCTTCAGTTATGTCCCTTTATAACTTTATATGATATGCAAGCAGGGGCATCATCTGTGTCCCATGGACACATTCCCCATTTATTTTTATTATGTAGGTTATAAATTTGTCATTATATCTTTACACCAATCCTTGGTATTTTTTTAAGTATTGTATACTATCTTATTCATTATTTATTATTTTTTTTTGCAGATCTGTTTTCACAAAATTGCATTTGTACTACATATATATGGAACATATAAAACCTGAGTGCAATACAAGAATGGCTCTAAATGACTTTACTCAAGACCACCAAAGATTATACTCTTATTTATCAATTGATGTCTGTGGTAAATTATTTACAAACTGAGAACATTGAATGTGTTTTCTTGTGATCTCAAAATATCTTAAAAATAATGCATTTCCTTTTGGATTTTTTTTTAATTGCTTAGAGAATTGAAGCTAAAGAACTATTTTGTATGGTCTTATATATACATTGTACTGTAAATGCAGAAATTTTCCGATGTCTTTAATAATTTTGAAAATTGCAACAGTATAGGTTTCAAACTTAAATTTTGATGGCATTATTTGGAAGCAACAATTCTTGAAAGTGCAATTATTATAGTAATTATCACATATTTGTTCATTATTAGACAACACCTTAAAAGTTGGATCCTGGGAAAATACATGCTCTTTCAGTATTTGTTGTGAAACAATTATCCTAAAAACACATTATAGATATTTGAAGAACATTTCAAATTCATGCTTGCAAATACTATAAAATGTTAGTGATAGACAATGGAATCTTTTTTCTAAATATTTTAGTTTTTAAATCTTCAGAATCTCTTGTGTTTAAATGTATTTTGATTAACATTTATTTATATATTTATATACTATGTATATATTTTTTTGTAATAATACCCAAACAAATCCAAAACATTTGGAAATTATATGGTTGTTTAAAATCATGGCACTTTATTTGAAATTTGCCAGGTAATAATTAACCAGTTGTGATGATAAAGTTAAAAAGGTTGTTTAATTTTATGGATGATTTGGTTAAATGAAAAGTGCTCTCTGAATTTCATTTCTGGTTCTGTTGTTTTTATTGTCTGTTTAATTGTATACCTTTACTGTACACCAGATTATTATTTTTTTTGTCTTTTATTTTGTCCTGTCTTATTTTCACAAAATTACTTCACCTTTCTGTCATTTTGTAGATGGGGCCATTCATGTTGAGATGTAGTCCGAACATATCTAGTCTTTTCATTTTTTACCACAGTATTGTATGTATTTTTTTTGCAGTGTTGACTGCCCCTTGGGTATCCTCTGACTTCTTCATATTAGTTTTATTTTTTTTTTTTTTTTCTTACATTCAAATCAATTCCATGGTGGTTATTGTTTTTGGCATTTCCTACCCCAACCTTGAATAAAAAAATTTTTAATAAATATTGCATCTGATTTTCATCCGAATTTGAAAAAAATTAATAAATTGTCTGCCCTTTGCTACTGGCATTAGGGTCATTGTGGTCAACCAGACATAACATATAGCACATGATATGCTAACAAAATTAATGTTTTTCAATTAAGAAATAATTCTTTCATGCCATGCTCTATGCCCATTTTAACATCGTTATGCATTATATTTGTTAATATCTTTATATTGAGCATTAGCGAGGTGTAAATATAATGCCTACCCATGTTAAAATGAGCATATAGCATGGCATGATAGAATTATCTTGATTCAAATAGGAAAATTTAGAACCTTTGTACTTCCAAGTGGACTTATTTACACATTCAAAAGGAAGCCATTTTGATTTGATGAAGCTGAAACGATATGTAAAATCAACTGTTTCAGAATAAAAAATGAACAGATCGAGTAAACTTACTTTTAGAACGATTTTATTTGATTTCCTATAGAGCAACACCAACACAATTTTGATCTCCAGCATTGTTAAAAAAACAACTGATGTTGCAATTTCAATTGTGATATCAATCACATGCAGCCCATGTTCTATTCAAATTAGAACATGGCTTTGTTGCCAAAGCAAAAGAAGAAGGTAACATTAGAATTAAAAACAAAATTAATTTTTTTTTTTCATTTTTAATCATAGAGTAGATTTTTTTGCCCAATACATTTTTTTATCTGACAGATGTATAGCGCATTAATTTCTTTTATGTAAATATTAACATCTCTACCTATACCAGCAGCTTGAATTCTCCAAAATATGAGAGGACCAAAAGATGCTAACCCCCTAAATACTAAATGGAGTGATTTCACAATTCAGGAGTGGTGCATGAGATTGTGGCTAGCACGAGTTGAAAATATCCATGGTCAAAGTAAAGTGTGGATTTCTTATATTTTGGGTACCTGCTTTCGTGGATTAAGGAAAAATTGTAGTTTGTGAATACTTGAGGTGGTACCAAACACCTTGACTAAAATTGATTTTGCTCGTTTAATTTTCATAAAATTTTGACAAAATATTTACTTTGACTCTTTGACAAAAAAATAAAAATTTTAAAAAACTTGAACCACACACTTTATCGGATAAATTTCATTGGATATATAGCAGTTTGACAAACACTTATTTTGATCATTGAGAAGCTTAATATTTCCTTAACAATAGAACATGATTAAAACGTTCAGCTGATTTTTACAGAGTTATCTCCCTATAGTGTTATGTACCTCCTTAATTCATGATTTTGAAAATTTTTGTGTAAAAATGTTTAGGAAATTTTTACTTAGTTGAACACTTAATTTCTGGTTAACTTTGACCCACAAAATCAAAAATAGTAAAACGGCTACTTATTGTAACTTCAAGATATCTAATAAACTTTATAAGATATCTCATATTGTTATCTTTATAAGATATCTTATAAATTATATAATATATCTTATAAACTATATGAGATATCTTATAAAATATATGAGATATCTTATAAAATATATAAGATATCTTATAAAATATATGAGATATCTTATATAAAAAATATTTATAAGATATCTTATAAAGTTTATAAGATATCTTATAAAAACTTGATTATATTAGATATCTTGAAGTTAGAATAAGTAGTAAAACGGCTTGCCATAAATACCCCAAGAATAAAAATAAATCATATAATTGATCTCCTGTGTAGTTCGCCAGGGGAAAGATAATTTAAAATATATTTCATTTCAAATGAGGTATTTCCTCCTATTTGTACACAGCATGACAAACGATGGAAGGTAAAGTTATAAATTCATTATTTTCAAGAACTATCTTTAGAAGTTCCAATATATATCGCAGGGGAGGCAATAGTATCGCATGTTTACATTTATCACTGGCAAACATAATGAAAATAATCTTTCATCATAAGGGGCATTAAGGTTTCCATTAGACATAAAACTGGTTTGAGTGAAAGTTATGAATATATGAAAAGTCTTAAACACTGTTAAGCAAATAGTATTGTTTTTTTTTTTGGTTGTTTTATTGTATTTATTTTTTATATTTTATTGATATTAACTGTATCTCTTTTAAATAGTTACCCTAGGCCTCATATACCATATAGTACTACATGTATCATCAAATTTTCACAGTAGGCATTTCACCACAAAATTTACTAATCATTTCAATGAATTATACAAGGCATTGGAATGGGAATAATGAACACGGTGAAATACTGAACTGGTCCATCTGAGGACTCAACAGTCAAACTGTGCACAAAGCTGATGGGGATAGTAACGTGTACAATGTAACTTGATATACAATATATTTTAGTGAAGAGATCCAAGAATTTGCTTTTTTCCTCTTGTTTGTATTTTTTGTTTACTTAAGGAATGACTGTAATATTTTTTCTTTATTACATTGGTAGCAATGAATTACATTGATTTCCCAGTCAAATAAAAACCGATAATTTCACATGTGAAATAAACGTGGTTATTTCACTCTCTGACGTCATACAACAATAGGCGTTGTCAAGACGTCGATAACGTCGGATCAAAACAAATTGTGAATGCGTAGAAAAAAGATATAGTTCCTTACATTTTCTTCATTAATTTCATTAAAAAAAAACATTTGCCAATGTAATAAAAAGAATAACTAATCAAAGAATTCAAATATAGAAAAATATTCAACTCGTGACCGAACAACACTGATAATTAACTCATGCGCTACGCGCATTCGTGAATTAATGTGTTGTTCGGTCACTCGTTGAATATTTTTCTCTATTTGAATTCTTCGATTAGTTATTCTATAAGTCTATTCGAAATAACATAAAAAATGTGGTGCACACTGAATAACTCGCGTAGCGGGTTATTTTAAAGTGTGCACCACATTTTTTATGTTATTTCGAATAGACAGAAAAAATATTACAGTCATTTCTTATAATTTAATTCTAAATTCCATTTTAAACCGGAGTAAACCATGAAAAAACGTTGATGACGTCACGGTCACATGACAAAATTATGTCTATGAGCTGATAAACAAAACAACGTCAGCCAATCAGAAGACGCGTTACATCCAAAATTAAATTATATGACTATGTATTATTTATCTTTTTTATGTTGTTCATATAATCTTTTGTTTATTTATATTTTAGTAAGAAGACATACTTTTCATATCATTTTTCAATTTCCAACCATTAGTTGACGGTCAATATTTATGCATGTATTTTGTGTTGTTCATTTGTTAAAATATTTATTTAATCATTGTGAATTTTCATTGTCTTAATTTAAAATGTATTATGGAATATTAGAAATAAACTTGATTTTTTATATATATGTGTACATTGTATTTGCAAATTTATAGAAACCCAGAATATAACTTATTTCACAAATCTTACCATCTCTGCCAAAAGTATTCTAGAATTTATGAATTGGTAAAAAAAACAATTGGTTCTTATTTTGAATTTCCCAATTTCTAATTTACATGTATTGCATGTTTTAACTCTTTTATAGTGCACACATGATGCATCTGAATAAATGTAGGTGTGGAGTTTCAATAAGACAGCAACCTTAGACATCTTCATCAAAATCCAGGCTAAGACAAAACACATGGCTATACATACAAAGACACAACTGCTAATTTGCACAATTATGATATATGATGATCCGACATTGCTTAATGTCTAATGTTGCTATTTTAGCTGACAAACCCTTAAATAATTTTATTATCACCAGAACTTTGATTATTGCCGTCACTTAGCTCAAGCTTCATCAAAAACTTCAAAAATTAACACACACTTGATAGTTGTTGTACCAAGAATTACTATAAATCCCATTTTCCTCACAAAAAGGCTGTTGTTACTCTACTTTTTTGGAACTGCTGAACTAGATGAATTTGAATACGATAGTTAAGTTTTTAGCTCACCTGGCCAAAAGGCTAAGTGAGCTTTTCTCATCACTTGGCATCTGTTGTCGGTTATCGGTTGTCGTTGTCCGTTAACTTTTACAAAAATCTCTCAAATTACATGGCTATTAAAATTTTACCAAACTTGGCCACAATCATCATTGGGGTATCTAGTTTTAGAATGTGTCCAATGATCGCCTGCCAACTAAGATGGCCGACATGGCTATAGCTAGAACAATGCAAGTTTTGCCTATTATTTTGAAAACCTCTACAAATAGAGAAAATCTGACATGTGCAAAAAATGTTTTGGAACTTCTGAACTAGATGAATTTGAAATTGATAGAAAAGTTTTTAGCTCACCTGGCTTAAAGGCTGAGTGAGCTCTCATATTACTTGGCGTCTGTTGTCATCGTCTGTTAACTTTTACAAAAATCTTATCTTAAAAAATGTTGAGCTCTACATATTGTCCATTAACGTCAAAACTGTTAAAAAATGATCAGCAAGACAAGATCTACAAATAAGCCATTATTGCCGAAATCTTCAGTCGACTCGTTATTGGAGTTATTGCTCTTTAATGATCATTTTTAACATTTTTTGGCATTTTTTGCCAATTATCTTAAAAAAACTATAATAGACAAATAGAAAAAAAAAACTAGATATGTCGGAACAACACAAATGGCCCAGTCTCAAAAAGTTGAAAAATCTGCAATTTCAACAACACATGTGGACACAAACATGCATGGGTAGTATCTGAGCTCTCAAGACCAATACTAGTTTGATGAAAAATTTCCTTGATCAATGAGAAGTTAAATTTCAAACTATCAGCAAACAAGAAGTGGATGTACTGCAGATCTAACAAGATGTGTTGAAACGACATGAAAATCAGCATAGCAGAATGAAACATAAACTTGATCTGTAACTCATCATGGTAGACTCGCAAAATCTGAAGGCGTATAGAAAAAAGTCTGTATAACTGTGATTTTCAACAATTTTCAAAGTCCATAGTCCGTAATTTCGGCAAAAATTAGCAGAGCGGAACGAAACTTTAAATTGATATGTTACTCATCATAGTTTACTCACATACCTAAAATCAGCCCAATATCTGAAGGCGTATAGAAAAAAAGTCTGTATAACTGATTTTCAACAATTTATCAAAGTCCAAAGTCCTTAATTTCTGCAAAAATTAGCAGAGCGGAACTAAACTTAAACTTAATCTGTTACTCATAAACGTGATAGGCCTTTAGAAAAAAATTGCATATAATGGTTTGTTGCGGAATGACGGAATGACAGACAAGGGTAAAACTATATGGCACTGACAACTTTATTGCAGGGCCATAAAAATTATCAGCAGGATAAGATCTACAAATTTGTGAGCATGACTTAAATTGTCAGTTCACTCTTATTTGAGTTATTCCCCTTTAATGATGATTTTTACTAAAAAAGTATCCATTGTTGAAGATGCAGATGATTGACACAGACACTAGTTTTAAAGTAATTTAGCAAATGTTATAGAAACAGACTGACCAGTATGGCCTAGCTAAGCATTTGAAGATTAATGAAAGATAACAAAAAATTTAAAACCCTTCCAGAGTACCTGAGATCACTCCTCAGGTTTTTGGTTGAGTTGGTGTTGCACCGTCTTTAGTTTTCTATGATGTATTTTGTATATTGTTGTTTGTCTTTTGGTCGTTATTCTTTTTAGGTCTTGGAATAGTCAGTTTTTCATTGACTTAGGAGTTTGAATATCCCTTTTGTATCTTCCTCCTTCCTTTTCTAGAACAAGACCAATACTGGGTCTGGACCTGTGTCGCTCCAGCAATTGATTGCGGTAACATGTATACTGAAGCATATAACAGATCATTCCCTTTCATTAAAGACATAAAAAAAATGAAAATTTTCCTTATACAAATTAATGAGTGTAAATATGGGCAAACAGCAAGTGGCTGCATAATTAATTACTGACTGAACAAAATCAAAACAAAGAATTATTCCTTTCAGTTACCAGCCAAGAAAAGATTGATGAACATTTTCCTTTGAACTATTAAACAGACGGCTGGATGGAGTAGAGCGGTTACCAGACCTGCTTTCATCTTTGGCGATGCAGGTAAAAATTGAAAGTATTACAAAATGACTTACTTATATGAAGGAAAAATGTGACATTCTTAATTCACCAGAATTTATAGTGTCAAAAGGCCACTTGATCATAGATACAAGAAGATGTGGTACATGAGTGCCAATGAGACAAACTGTTACTCTCCATGCATATTTCAAATGAGAACCAACTACTGTAAATTTAGAAATTTTTGTGTGCACTTATTTTTGCTATGTATTGTTGAACAATGGAAAAAAATGTGAAATAAATTATTGCAATTTCAAGAAATGCTGGACACAAATAATGCTTTAGATGTTTAAAATATTAGTTTTGATGATTTTGAAACCTATCCTATTTCAGTTTTAGTAATAATGAAAACATGATTTCCTATTTAATTAAATGGTCGTTTGGTAAATCTGAATGCAAATATATTTGCTGCAACTCATTTAAAGCCATCTTCTCTAATGAGAAAGGTAAATATGCTAGATATACTAATACTGAAGGTGTGATGAGATGATTGAAACTGTTGGTTTTCTCCTTGATAATATTTATGTACGTTTCGGCAATAAAGTGTATCAACAGGTTGTAAGTATTCCTATGGGCACCAATGAAAACCATGTTATTAAGGGGGACCTCAATATCGTTCAAGACTAAGAAGTTAAAAACTTTTAAAAAAAAGGACCAAAGTATCGTCCTCCATCTAAATTAGATTGGAAACAGTGTCGTCAGGTCACAAAAGACACTCTTTCAACATATTGTAAAAATTGGTGTAAAAGGGAAAAAATCTGATAAAAAATCTCTTGATTCTTATTTAAATAAATGCATGAATGTTGTGGATATTCGAATATCACATTTTGAAAATATTTCAGAAATAAATAAAAGAGTACATAATACGCCTATTTCTAGAATAAGAAACAAACTTCAAGTACTTTCAAAGCGGTTTGTTGTCTGGCCTTGACGGAGTCAAAAAGGCGAGACATAGGTATGCTGTTTCCGGCGTCGGCGACGGCATCAACAATGTATTAGTTTGTGATTAGGTCTAGTTCATGGTGAACCACTACGTGGTAGGTCAATGATATTTGGTATGCAGTTGTATTAGCATTGGCACATCTCATTACCATGGAGATTACCGTATTTGGCCCTGCCCCCTCAGTCAAGGTCTATTGACTTTGAAACTTTTCATAGTTTACATGTTTTAGTTTGTGATTAGGTCAATTTATGGGGAACCACTAGTGGTAGGTCAATGATATTTGGTATGCAGTTGTATAAGCATTGGCATATCTCATTTCCATGGAGATTATTTGGCTCTGCCCCCTTAGTCTATAGACTTTGAAAATTTTGCTTAGTTAACATGTATTAGTTTGTGATTAGGTCAGTTCAAGGGGAACCATTTGTGGTAGGCCAATGTTAATTGGTGTTCAGTTGTATAAGCATTAGCACATCTCATTTCCATGGAGAATATTTGGTCCTGCCCCCTCAGTCATGGTCTATTGACTTTGAAACTTTTGCTTAGTTTACATGTATTAGTTTGTGATTAGATCAGTTTAAGATGAACTGCTAATGTTAAGTCAATGATATTTGGTATGCAAATGTATTGGCATTTGCAAGTATCGTTTCCATGGAGATTATATAGCCCCACCCCTGATCATGGTTCATTGACTTTGAAACTTTTACATAGTTTACAAGTTAATGTTTGTGTTTAGGTTTGTTTAAAGGGAACGACTTATAATAAGTCAATGGTATTTGGTTTGCAGTTGTATTAGCATTGGCACATCTCATTCCATGGAGATTGTTTAGCCATGTACCTTCAGTCATGGTTCATTGACTTTGAATATTTGCATAAATTACATGTTAAAGTATTGCTATTTTAATTTCAACATTTGCATTATCAAAATTACAAAAAGGCGAGACATATCTCTGTGATAACAGTTTATGTTTGTACCAGCCGACAAAGCAGCCAACAATGTGATGGTGGTATGCCGTAAATACTACACGGAGGTACGTTCTTAAGAATGAAAATTTAAATTCATCTACATTCAAGTCTGTGCGCTCCACAGAGAGTCATATAGTAAACAAACATATTATCATAACCACATCATAGCTTAAGGCCTCTTCTGAACATTTGAAGGTCCCTACTATGTATTGGTTACCTAAACTACACAAAAAACCAGTAAATTATCATTTCATCTCGGCCTCTAGTAAGTGTTCTACAACTAATCTTTTAGTGCTTTTAACTAGTTCCTTAACTACTATCAAAGAACTTATCATTAACTTTTGTCATAAAATATATGAAAATAGTGGAATAAACTATTTTTGGAGTGTAAAAAATTCTTTGGATGTTTTAGATAAATTACGTGCTTTTGATGGTCCTTTTCATTCTGTTGACAGTTTTGACTTTTCAACTCTTTAGTCTACACTTCCACACAATCTTATCAAACAAACGTTTTCCTATTTTATTAAATGGTCGTTTGGTAAATCTGAATGCAAATATATTTGCTGCAACTCATTTAAAGCCTTCTTCTCTAATGAGGAAGGTAAATATGCTAGATATACTAATATTGAGGTGTGATGAGATGATTGAAGCTTTTGATTTTCTCCTTGATAATATTTATGTACATTTCAGCAATAAAGTTAATTGACAGGTTGTAGGTATTCCTATGGGCACCAATTGCGCCCATTTAATAGCAGACTTGTTCTTGTACTGTTATGAATCACAGTTTATGACCAAACTCAGTAAAGACCCGTCTAAATTGCATTTAATTCAAAAATTCAACAACACTTACCCATATCTTGATGATATTTTTTCGTTAAATAATCAAGAAATTTCTAAATATACTGCCAAAATTTACCCAAAGGAACTTACTTTTAATAAATAATAAAATTGGTTTTGAAGTTTGGTTGTACTTGTAGAAAACTTATTTCAAACAGGATAGCACATCCTCATTTTTACCATTCAACACTGTAATTAGATCTTTGAATATTGTTTTTATTGGTGCTACATATTGATTTTGTCATCATTAAATTAAAATCTAAATATAATTGTTATATACATATGCACATTCATGGCTTTACAATCTGTTGATACCTGTATCTTGGCATTGCACAAGGTCATGTTTTTCTCTGACTGTTTATGACGTCTTTACACTAAATCCATTGGATGTTGGATGTGTACTGATTGATAATTTAGTCTTAGATGCATGATTTTTTTTATTAGTTGTTATTGGCTTTGAACTAGCTGTCAGTAACTGCGAGTACTCTCAGATCTGTGCTAAGTGTCTTTTTGTTGTTGGGATGACAAGTGCCCGTCCACGTCCACTTTGTGTTTTTGTTAGATGTATTTCTCCTTGTATCCATCTAAGCCTTTTTCAACTGATTTTTATAGTTTGTTCTTATGTTGTACTGTTACACCACTGTCCCAGTTTAGGGGGAGGGTTGGCGCCTTCAAACTAGTTTAACCCCGCCACATTCTGTATGTGCCTGTCCCAAGTCAGGAACCTGTAATTCAGTGGTTGTCGTTTGCTGCTTTGTTACATATTTGTTTTTTGTTCATTATTTTGTACATAAATTAGGCCGTTAGTTTTCTTGTTTGAATTGTTTTACATTTGTCATTTCGGGGGCTTTTATAGCTGACTATGCGGTATGGGCTTTGCTCATTGTTGAAGGTCGTACGGTGACCTATAGTTGTTAATTTCTGTGTCATTTGGTCTATTGTGGAGAGTTGTTTCATTGGCAATCATACCACATCTTCCTTTTATATAGCAAAAATTTCTGAACTTATTAATTTGTATACATCATCGGGTATACAATACAACAATAAGATAATTGACCATTAAGAGGCTAGTAAGGAATATTTTTCTGCCACTACAAATATGAAATTTTTTGATAGGATCAGACTTCTTACATCTTATACATATTTGTACTAATTCAGTCAAAGTGGGCAGGCTGCAAACATAACACGTTTGTCGCTTATTTCCCAAATCTATTTATTAGAATTTAAAAATGAATAGATCTTGAATATAATAACATATTAAATAAATCTTATGTACAAAAAACACCAGTACTTTTCTTTACATACAATTATAAAAATACTAATAAAAATTGAAACATGAAGCATGGACATCAATTGTGCACATAATATATAACTTGGATGCACAACAGATTGATTGTTGCTTGTTTAATGTTCAGTGGCATTTATTTCATGCATATTCAGGTAGATTCAACATTAAAAAAAAAAATCTGTCTTGACCCTTTTCTGTATATCAGAATAAAAAGCTCTGACACACAATATACAACTTAAGAACACGAAGCAGGTTGACAAGGAAACTAACAAATAATTGTAAAATCAGAAGTTGATGCTAGAAACTTTGAATCGACAAAAGTGGACTGAAATGTGCATTTTTATAAATACAAATCAGAGATATTTTAATTGCAAAATACATAATTGAAATTCAAATGTTAATGTGATCTGAAACCCTTTTAACTTTTCACATTATAAAAAAAGACATAATATTATTTTGTGAATTTACTGTATGAAAATATTGTTTGAAAACCAAACTGTTAAAAAAAGAGAAAAATAAAAGAACAGAGTTCCAATGTCCCCCGCGTTGCACATATTTTATATTTCCAAGAGGCTAACTCTTTTAAAAAAAGTTGATTGTCCACCATTATAGAACTTGTCAGAAATATTGCTAATATTAACCTATAGTATAATTTATATAAATCTGGCAAGAATTGTACCCCTGAGAGCGCTTAAGAGGCCATTTTCCATAAATTTAAAATTTCCAAGGGCATAACTCTTTTTTAAAAAGTCGATAGTCCACCATTATCTAACTTGTCAGAGATATTGCTGATATTAACCTATAGTATAAGTTTTATAAAAATCAGGCAAGAATTGTACCTGTGAGAGCGCTAATGAGGCCATTTTCCATAAATTTAATTTTTCCAAGGGGCATAACTCTTTTAAAAAGTCGATCGTCCACCATTATAGAACTTGTCCGAGATATTGCTGATATTAACCTATACTATAAATTTTATAAAAATCTGGCAAGAAGTGTACCTGTGAGAGCACTAACAAGACCGTACAGACGAACACATGGACAGACGCCAGGTATTTCCATGTCCCCCGCAACGCGTTACGCTGGGACAAAAAGAAAACCTAACTGTACTTGGCACAGTAAGGTGCAAGACATGGCAATTTGCTTGCAACTGCAACTTGCTGGGTTCACATGCAATAAACTAGACAAAAGTGTGCCACTAGAAAACATTCATTTTAGGTTTATAAATTTTAAAGGCGTGAACAGTATTTTGATGATTGTCCTACAAGTTTCCTGTGCCTTGAGACATATGAAAAATTGCCTATGTTTTTTTATGACTGAAATCCCATAACTCTGAAATGAGTAATCTGAAAATTAAAGTCCCACAACTCTGGAATGATAAATCTGAAAATAAAAGTTCTACAACTCTGGAATGATAAATCTGAAAATCAAAGTTAAATATTTCTGGAATAAGTAATCAGAAAATCATCAAAATCATCAAAATCAAAGGGGAGCTTACATTGAGATGTGTTAGTTTTAGTAGTGACATTGTCAAAAAATTTCATATCATTCAGTCAGAGAAAAAATAGAATTATCAGCAGACATGAAAAATTGCCTAGTTTTTTTTACAACTGAAGTCCAATTTATTCTTTGGAACAACTAATTTGAAAATTTTCATCATTGTTAGGAAGCTCAAATTGTAACACAGAGTTAAACATTCGTCAGAATTCAAAAAGCATTCTTTAGTTGTTGTAAACCATATGTTCCTCTTCAATTGGCATAACCCAAATAATTCAGTCGTTATATTCCACTGCTCTACGATGGCTACATTAACGCCTGAAGGCCTTGTCAATTAAAAATCGTCAAATATTCATTCGGAATTAGCTCGGAACATTAAGCTATTAGCTGATTGGCGCTCTCTCACAGAGAGCACCAATCAAAATCCTGGATTCGTGACGCGTTTTTATTGTATAAAGAATTCAGGCCCTCGCGAGTGGGAGAGTCGATCACGGGGAGGGACTGAATTATTCGGGGTTACCAATTGGCACTGACAAATATAACATGAGAAAAAGGCTATATACATACTCTGACTATTGTAGATAACAATGTTTAATATAAACCTAATCTTCTAATATGTCTTAAAGACAAAATATTACATCACCCAATATATGTTTTCAGATTATCACATTTTCTTTGATAATACATATATAAACTGTTGATACAGAGATATGTCTCACCTGTGAGTATAAATACATTGTATAATATTTTATTAAACACTGTCTCTAAAAATGGTAAAAAGATAAATAAGTAAGTAAGTAATTTTGATTATTAATTGACTTGTGAACATGATTCATCAAATATAGCACAATCACAACGTTCACATAGTCAATGTTACACCCACTCCATTGGACCTAATAAGTCACCTAATATATATTTATAGCTACAGGGCTTTCAATGAAATCTGAAGTTGGCAGTATCCGAAGGCAATATTTTTGGCATAGAGTATGAAGCATGTAAAACTGCTGCTGACTACATACAGTTAAAATTCCTATATACTTAATATTATAGTGCTGACATGACAGTGTCCAATTTTTAACACTTATCTGTGGAGGAAAAAAAAGCAAAATATAAAATATATTTAGTGCACATGTAAAAATATAAAAGAAAGATAACTAAATAATATTCTGATTTATACAACATTGAGAAAAAAAATATTTTATAGCTTAAATTTACACAGTATTCAAAAATACAACTGAAAATTCATTACCTAGTTTCAAAAAAAGTGAAACAACAAAAATACCGAACTCCAAGGAAAATTCAAAACAGAAAGTCCCTTAACAATTGGCAACATCAAAAGCTCAAACACATCAAACGAATGGAAAACAACTGTCATATTCCTGACTTGGTACAGGCATTTCCTTATGTAGAAACAAATGAACAGAACTTAAATTTATACTGTGTTTAAAAATATAATAGAAAATTGTTACATAATTACAAATAAAAATCTATTGTGTTTAAAAATACAATCGAAAATTCATTACATAATTACAAATCAACATAAAAAGATTCTGCAATCCGCCAACCGTTATCTAAATTAAAAAGAATTGAATTTCTATATTTAACTCAAATTTGTAGATAGACGTTTTATGCATTAAGCAATATAAATTTGAGTGTTCCGAAGTCAGGAGCTTGTTATTTAGTGGTCTATATAGCTACCTTGGTAGCCGTCGGTCATATTTGTTTTCTTTTATTGTTATGTCTTAAAGAAGGCTGTTGGTGTTCTCATATGAAATTTTTCACATTATGTCATGGTTGGCCTTTTAAAGCGGAATATATAATATGGGATTGCTTGTTGTTGAAGAAAGTACTGTGACCTTCAGTTTGGACTAAGATGGATAGTTGTCTCATTGGCAACCATACCACATCAACTTATTTTCATCTCTTTATTTTTAAATGTTGAGGTTGATAGAAAAATCTGCTGATCTATTACAATACTGTAAATTCAGAAATTATTGTTTGTATTCATTATTGTGATCTTGTCATTTTAGACTAAAATGCAATTTTAAATTTTGCGATATTGAGAAAAATCCTGTTTAATTCATATAAAAAATTTCAAAATGAGAGTTTAAATTATTGCGATTATAACCCTGTTCGCATTTTTTGCAATAATAAAAACAACACAATAATTTCTGAATTTACAATAATAGAAATCCATTCAATGTTACCAAGTAATTAGTTGCCAATAGTGCAAACATATATGCTGATTTGTAATTAGAAATTTCAAAATTATTTTCAAATGTAGTGTAATTTGGCAAGAATTTAACCACACAAATTAACTGGTAACAGATTGTTCTACATGTAGTTTACAAATCATTTAAAAACACTACCATTATCTTTTACAGATTAGAAAATGGACTGCATACTTGACAAAACAAAGTTTGACAGATGTTCTGTAAAGATCAATTTCATCTGAATTTTTTTTTAGGACAATTACATTAAAAGAAATGTGGGAGGGTAAAAAGAGGCTTCCAAAATCTCCTCACAACCAACATGTAGCAAGAAAATAAGTTCAGTGACCCTATTTTTTCTTTTTCTTATCTGAAAGCATCTTATAAGAGCTATCTTCTCACATTTTATCTTAAAGTTCTATCAAGTAGTTTTCTTTTTATCACACAAAATTTGATTTTCCAATGCATAATCTATACAAAATCTGACAATTTTGCACAACCTCTAGCTTGAAAAAAAGTTCGGTGACCCATACTTTTTATTATATTTTTGAAAAAAGCATGATAAAAACTTCATTTTGACAAATTATCAAAAAATTCTATCAATTTTAATTAAGGCGCCCCAGCCACCTTAAAGGACATCCATAAACAACTATGACCTATGTCGAAACATAAAAATTCCCTTCCAACCCTCCCATATTTGTTTTAATCGAATAGCCCTTATCATGACAGACATAAAATTGAGAATGGAAATGGGGAATGTATACAGTATACAACCTTGAACAAATCAAGAGAACAATGTTCTAAAAATTATCTTTGAGTAGATGGTATGTTTAAACCAGGTGTAATTGATATAAAATTCAATATTTTGAGATTCATCATCAAACAATTTTATCTGCTAAAAGCTTTCCAACAAAAGAGTAATCTTTGCAAAACATAACCATGGTAACTAGTAATTGATTACTTGATTGGTGTTAAAGCCACTTTCAGCACTATTGTGCTATTTTGTGGTGGTCAGTTTTTATTGGTGTAGGATTCAGGAGTGCTCGAGTGAACCACGCACCTTCGGTAAGAAAACTGACAATCCTAGTCAATTAAGATTGGAGTGGAACACACCTGCCAAGTGGGGGATTGGAACTCACAACCTCAGTGTTGACAGGCTGGTGACACAGAAGTTGAACTACTTAGAATTACTCACCCACTGAGGCCCTGATAACAAATAATCAATAATAAAATCATCCTAGTTCTGTAATCTTTTATAAGATATTGATCTTTAAATGGTATTTTCAAAGGAGGTGTAATAAACATAAACTTTTATGTTTTGAGATTCATCATCAAATCGTTCAATCTGCTAAACATGCTAAAAGCCTTACACAACTGCAAAAAAAAACTTGCCAATTATAAAGCTTTTGATTTCAAAAACAACAGAGGTGTGAATATAAAAAACGTGGTTGCAAATGAGACATCACTCCACCAGAGACCAAATTAAATGAAGAAGTTAACATTTAACAGGTCATTTAGAAAAAAAACGAATTCAAATACTAAGCTATGAATAGCAAGGCAAATCACATACATGACATACATAATTCACTTTTAATTGTTGTTTTTACAAAATATAAAAACTCGTTGTGGCATTTTGAATCTTAAGATAATTTAAAAACAGCCTTATACAATCATAATATAAGTCATAACTAAAATGTAAGTGATATAAAACATTTTAAATATATGTAAACTACCATTGTTAAGAAAACTAGATTTACTGTAGAATCATTACTATTCTTGGAATAACAATGGGTATAGTTAAACCACAAATTAAAATGTTCAAAAATATAAAAAAAATTGCTTAAGGCCTGCATAGTAAGAAATTGGCAAAATCATGAAATAAAATATACACAAAAATTGAATTTTTCCTCAATCAACAAAAAATTGGTTACCCACCAAAATAAATGAACCCATAGTAATTCTTAAGATGGTGTTGTGCATAGTTGTAATTGTCTCCCAACATTTCAATGACAATCAACCTTGAAGGATAAAATATAAATGTCTTTATAAGGAAAACGAGCATGAATTTCACTGATCATTTATTTGCTGCATTGTCATGATTGTGTTGATTGCAGTCCCAAAGGTAGATATGAGGCCTGGAAAATATTGTTATCAAGCCTTAGTGACATAATGATTATTATTTCATTTTATGCAATCTTTGCCATCAAAAAACAAGTGAAACTGTGAGCTACTGCTCACTGATGATACCCCCGCCACAACTGGATAATTCTAATAGTGTAAAAATATGTAAGTGTTCGGTTAACAGGAAGTTGTTGAGTGATGAATCTGAAAACGCATCACACGGTATAGCTGACTTATATAAACCCTGAAACCAAATTTCAGAAATCCTTATGATGTAGTTCCTGAGAAAGATGCGACAAAAAATATTCATTGGACGGACGGACGGACAGACAGAGGTAAAACAGTATACCCCCACTTTTTTAAAGTGGGGGTATAATAATAAATTTGATTGAATTCTAAACAATATCACACACCATACTAGATTCCAATATTATATTAAGCATGTTAAGAACTGGATTGTAACATTAGTAAAAATATCATTCACTGAATTTTAACTTCAGTAAAAATCATCATGGTTATGACTAAATTCTAACATTTTCAAACATGGTAAAACAATATGGTCTTGATTGTATTTAAACATTTATATATATGTATGTATTGGCTGAATTTTTACATACGTAAAAGCATTATAGTACATGTACAATGTATTGGTTAAATTTTAACATTGGTAAAAACATCACACATTTTACCAAATTTTAACATTAGTAAAAACCTAATTGCATTGACTTTAAATTCTAACAGTAGTAAAAATCATCATAATTTTGACTGAATTCTAACATTAACACTCTTTTTGGTCAATTTTTCAGCCTCTTCAACCCCTCGACAGATCTGATCTAGAACACTGAATGGTACAGATTTATTAATAGGTAGATAAACCACATGATCCAGCAGGTAGCGAGCTTCCTGTGGGTAATAGTTGACTAACGGTGCAAAATAATCTAAGTAAGGATTCCACTTCTCCGGTTCAATGATGTTGACCTGTGTGGCACCACGATAAGCGTCTATACCCATAGCATGCAGTAGATTGACAAAGGTATCTGCATTATCCTGCAAACAAAAAAGAACAAATAAAAGTCTATTAATTAGCTACATTTGTTCTGTGGATTCATTTATTTTCATGGGTACCAATTTCCGTGGATTGAGTAAAACTTGTATTTTTTGTTGATTTTTGATTTCATGGTTTTGCTGAAGTCTGCATACAAGCCTTTGGAAAATTTGTAATTCATTGAACATCTAGCTTTGTGGTTCACCTTCATCTAGGTTCAGGAAATCCAAAGTATATTGATTGTGAAGAATTTAATTTCCTAGTAAAATAAAAAGTTAAACTGATATTTCAAAAGAAAAATAAATAAAGAAGGGGGGGGGGGGCTTCATTTCTGTATTCTTAAATTTTTTAGGTCATTATTCTCTATTCTTTATATGTGTTACTCATTATTCTCTATTCTTTATATTTAAAAACCATCCTATTATTCTCTATTTTTCACTTTTTGGACCCATTTTTCTCCATTCTTTATTTTTTTGGACCGTTTTCCTGCAGTATTGGCCCATAATTCTCTATTCTGCAAACCCCCCCCCCAATTTTTTTTGAAATTTTGAAGATTATTTTTTTTAGGAAAAATGTACAATTTCAGAGAGTTCCATAAACTTTAACACAAGTTATTGTCTGGGAAACTAGAAAATTAAATGCTTGTTTTTGGACCCTTTTTGCCCCTAATTTCTACCTCATGTGGTACAAACAAGTCTGATAAGAGATCATTACTAGATTGTAGTGATGAATCAAGGAAGGCTAAAAGAAATCAAAATTGTTCAGAAAACCCCTTTTTCTAAAGTTAAACAATCAGTATAACAAGTTAAATTTGGCTGATTTACGAAGGAAATGTTTACTTAGACCTCAAACATGGCAAAAAAAGGGAAGTAACTCAAATTGTATCAATCAAAACCTATCTATAGTATACCTGAGATTGATTTTAGAGTGGACTTTTTTTATTGCATAAAAAATTTCGTAATGAATTTATTGGTCTTTTTTTAAATGTAATTTGGTAGGGGATAAAATTTAAAAGAAATAATAATAAACTGTAGTGAAAGTAGAATTTAACATGTTTTACACTAGTTAGTCACTTTGGGGCCCTTTATAGCTTGCTGTTCGGTGTGAGCCAAGGCTCCGTGTTGAAGGCCGTACTTTGACCTATAATTGTTAACTTTTTATACATTGTGACTTGGATGGAGAGTTGTCTCATTGGCACTCATACCAATTCTTCTTATTTATAATTAATAGTTTCATGTAGTTTAAGAATTTTTGTAGTTCATATTGTTTACAAAACGACTAACAGGTTTACCTCTAAAGAGCAGCATGAAGATACTGCATGAAATTTTAGAAACATACTTCTTTCTCATGATAATACTGTGATTGGGAAATTTTAAAACATGAAAGATGTGAAAAATTGATTTTAAAATAACAGGATTTTTTTTTATTCAATTTTGCCTTGTAGGTAAGAAAAGAGGAACTTTAGTTGATTTAATGATGAATTTGTGAAAATTGACCATCTTAACCAAAATATTATGATATAGTAATCAATATACTTTTACATTCTATTTTGCCATCATTGAAAACCATATAGTGACCTCAATTTTTTTGTGAACGTATATTGTTTGGTTGTTGTTTCAATGATTTTTTTGTTTGTTTATTCCTTACCACTAATATTGGAAATAACCAGTAATTGTTGATTTCTGCCTGTGATCCAACCAAAGTCACACTCTCAGGAAGTCGCTCCTTCACATATTCCCCTTTTAAAGAGCAGGTCCTAAAATCATTTCTGTCAAAATTTGAAAGTCTATAAAACACAGTTTTTAACAGAGCTGTAGATGGTTGATGTCGAATTTTTTCAATCAAATGATCAGGAAATCCTCGTAACATTTTAATGACATATTTTTTATGATCTATGTTAAATTTTCGTGTCAGAACCATTAAAGGATGAATAACGCTCGGGCAGTCAAGTAAAACGTAAGCACAACAATATTTGAAAAGTTTCTTGAAATAAACAAATTGTGATTGCATGGGATATTTTGAATATAAATCACACATTTTCTGATACAATTTTTCATCTTTGACTTTTGCAATGGCGCCACCAAATGCTGTGTAGTATTTTATTACGCCAAAGCTAAATAGTGCTATATCACTTTCAGGATGGCCAATTTTTTCGAAACCACAAAATGTTTCTGCACAATCTTCAATGACATGTATATTTTTTCGTCTAGCGGTACTAATGATTGCATCCATCTCTGACCATTTCCCGTACAAATGAGCGACCATAATGGCCACTGTTTTATCACTTATAAGAGCCTCTAAAAGATTGGTTTTTGGAGATGTTGTCTCTATGTGTACATCTAATGGAATCACCTGCAAAAACAGTTAAAAACAATGTGATTCAGTGAGAATTGAATTGCATTTAAGAATGAATAACTGAGTCAATGTTTTGCTGAAATGATAGAAAGCAATTCCAGCAATTGTGATACTATCATGGACTGTTTGATCTCAACATATGTGAATAAGTAAACAAAAATTACTTACAACTATGTAACATGTTGCTAAAAAAAACATTACATTCTTGTATATATATATATATGACTTTTTTCACTAATTAATACACCATAGTAGCTTTAAAATGTTAGACAATAAGACATTTAGAAATCTTTATGAAAAATATTCCCTAAATAATCCAAACTAAATAATGAAAAGTGAGGATAACAATTCAATTTATGAAATTCAAATATGACAAACATGTAAGTAAATGGACCAATAACAACCACTGAATTACTGGCTCCTGACTTGGGAGAGACACATAAAGTGAATAGGGAACACTCATTCAGCATGTTTAGAATGTTAGGTAAACATCATAACTACTTTTCAAGCTTTAAATTAATTACTCTTTAAAGTCAAACATTTACCTTTAAACCATGATGTTTAACTATATACACCATATCAGGTATGTTTATTGCTGACATTATAATCTCTGAGCCAGGAGGATAGTTCATGACCCTCAGGAACAAGTCTAATCCAGTTCTGACTGAAAGGCAAGGCAAAACATGATTTTGATTGGACGGATTTAACCACATGGTCTTTAGCTGACCAATGATTTTGTCTCGGTCTCTGTGAACTTTGGCACATTGGGCAATACTGTATCCAATATCCTTCCATTTGGCATCTGAAAGAAAAATGTTTTTTTTTAAATAAAAATAAATGGGGAATGTGTCCATGGGACACAGATGATGACCCCAACTTGCATATCAAATAAAGTTATAAAGGGACATAACTGAAGAACGGTAAAAGTGATTCTACCCAAATTTGTACTTGATCTGAGTTTTGTGGTAATAAGCTTAGTATTGTGTATAAGTTTCATAACATTTGGTTGAGGCAAACTTAAGTTAGAGAACGGAAACAAAAAATTGAGCAATTTTTCCCTTTGTAAAGGGGCATAACTCTAGAACAGTAAACAGTCAGAGATATAACTCTATAGGGTTATTACAGAAAATAATTTGTGTGTGTTATTACAGATACTTTCATGAGTTATCTACTCTTTATTCCTAAAATTTTCTAAATCTGTAATAACATAATGATATGTTTGTTATTTGTAAAATAAATAAAAAATATTTTAATTTATAGTGGACTCTAGGGAACTCTTCAGACTTTGCGCAGAAACTAAATGCATAGCCTTGATAACTAATTTTTAAATTAAATTAATACATTTTTGATTAACCATGGTAAATCAATGAGACAAGGCTTTTAAGGGATAAACTTAGCTGTAATAACATTAAAGGCTTAGTTATTTAAGGAATGTAACTTATTATATGAGACACTTGGGAATTACTGGGAAGCTTGCGCAGAACCTCATTACATGCTCTGGTCATTATTTCTTACAATAAATTAAAATATATTGTAATTAAGCATGATGTATGTCTCAGCAAATGCTTTGGAGTGATATAGAGAAGCTGTGATAACACCCTTTAGTTATTACAGGCATATTATTTCTGTAATAACATAGGTATACTATGCAAAATTGTCAAACTATGAACTGTTATATCTTTCTATAGTTAAGTATACATAAAGACAATAGTAATATCAATAGAACTTGCATACATTTTAACTAAACTAATGATGTATATTGTCCCTTTGAAACATGTAACATACATATGTTATCACAGTTCTTTGATTTTTCAGTCCACAATAACATATGTATGTTATTTTTCTGTAATAACCCTATAGAGTTATATCCCTGACTGGTAAAAGTGACACCACCAAAATTCAAACTTGATCTGTATTTTGTAGTACATGTAATAAGCATTGTGTATAAGTTTCATAACATCATGAACATTTGGTTGAGGCTAACTAAAGTAAGAGAACGGAAACGAAAAATTCATCATTTTCCCATTTGTGAAGGGGCATAACCCTAGAACGGTTAAAGTGACACCACCAAAATTCAAACTTGATCTGTATTTTGAGGTAAAAAGCATTGTGTATAAGTTTCATAACATTTGGTTGAGGCAAACTAAAGTTAGAAAACGGAAACCAAACATTCAGCAATTTTTCCATTTGTAAAGGGGCATAACTATAGAACGGTTTAAGTGACGCCACCAAATTTCAAACTTGATCTGTATTTTGTGGTAATAAGCATTTTGTATAAGTTTCATAACATTTGGCTGAGGCAAACTAAAGTTAGAGAACGGAAACCAACTTTGGGACGTACAGATTGACAAGGGTAAAACTTAATGCCCCCTCCGCTACGGCGTGGGCATAAAAAATAATACTGTGGATTCATTATCATTCGTGGGATACCAGTTTTTATGGATTTCTTTTGTTAAGGTGAACCACAAATTTCAATGTTCGAGGAAATACGCATTTTATATAGGCTTGCAGGTTGAGCGCTCACAAACATGTTTAACCCCGCCACATTCTTTATGTGCCTGTTCCAAGTCAGGAGCCTGTAGTTCACGTCTGTCATATTTGTTTTTTCGTAAATTGTTTTGTTATAAATTAGGCCATTAGTTTTCTCAATTGAATTGTTTCATATTTTTCAGGTCAGGGCCTTTTATAGCCAACTATACGGTATGGTTTTTTTTCATTGTTGAAAGCAGTACGGTTGCCTATAGCTGCTTACATCCACTTTATTTGAACTTTGGTGGACAGTTGTCTTATTGGCAATCATACCACATCTCCTTATTTTTATATTGTATGCAGACTTTGTCAAAACCATGAAATCAAAAATCCACAAAAATACAGTTTTTCTTCAATCCATGAAAAATTGATATACATGAAGATAAATGAATCCAGTACATCATTCTTATTTTAAAATAAATCTATCAAGCCATGTTTTCTGATGTTTTTTTTGCCATAATGTCCTACAAAATAAAGTTTAGGGGAGGGTTGAGCACCGACAAACATGTTAATCCTGCCACATTCTTTAAGGACCTGTCCCAAGTCAAAAGTCTGTAATTTGGTGGTTGTTAATTAATCAAGCATATTTTTCATTTTTTTTAAATCTCAACAATAAAAGGAAGCAAAAGGTTCTGAATTAACAGTATCAAACATGGGTAGATCCCAAAATCTGTCTTCAGGTTTTCTCTCTTCATTTTTTTGGCTCTTTTTTTCTGTATTTTCTGCCCAGTATTCTCTTTACTGTAATCCCCATCCAGAACCTCATACATCAGTCAGGGGTTATACTTATACAAGTGTTTTTTTATTTACTGCTAGCTGGTACAAGTGAATTATTTTGGAGATAGAGTTATATCCCTTAGACGTTCAGATTTTTTTAAACTTATATACAAATAAAAAAGTTATATTCTTCTACTTTTGAATTTCTCTTTACTACATTAATTACTCTAATAGAGTGTTTAATTGTATGTCACTAAAAGTTGTCTTTACCATTCATAATTATATATATATATATATAGTATAACTTCATGGACAATCCACATGAAAATCTCCTATGTATGTTACATGTATCTTCAAAATACTGCTCATTTACAAGCCGCAAGGAAGCAATTTTTGAAGGCCATGTGCAGCTACTTAGCATCTTTACACAATAGATTTCTTTGCTTAGTTCTTGTTAAAAGGTTGCACTCTAATCAAAAATTAAATTAATTAGTGAACCAGAAAAATTCTGCTTAGGCATGTTTTGACCTCCTAAAACATGAAAATTTAAGGGTTGTAAAAAAATTACTTGCATATGGCCTGAGAACACATTTATTTTGTAGTGCATATTTTAGACAATAAATGAAAATTAAAAAAATTGCACTTGCACTTTCTCAATGATATTTTTACAGTACGGTGTACTACTTTTGGTACAAATTATATCAAAATTATAGAAAACTTCATCAGCTCTAACTCAAATATGGACAATTATGTAAAGAGGGTCTTGAATTCTTTTGACAGCTTCAGACATACTAATTTTTAACCTTTTTCAGCTGGACCAAATCACTACTTTACTTTAAAATTCATGATCCAAATTTGTTTGCATTGTATTTTCCTCCACCTACTTGCTATTTGAGGCATAAAACATGAAAAAACAAATTTGGAAGGGGTATGAAAAAAATTCCAGGTAAATACACTGTCCTCACTAGGGACTTTATTTGTAAACGAAAATCAAAGGACGATAACTGTGATCCCAAACCATATTAAGTAAATTTTTGGAGAAGATTAAGGGGAGATAATTCAAACCTTAAAAAAATTTGTTTCTACAAATTTATGTATACAAGCAAATATTACTTACTTCTTCATGTAAATAAAAATGATTTGTATATAAGTATTACCCCTGATTGTAAATTGTACATGACTATTTGACTCACCTATGTATACACATGTATAAGGCAGTACTGATGATTCCATCTTCTGCTTGCATAAATTAGCATTCTGCATTCATTATATGATTTAGTCACAAAATGTATATGTACATGTACAAGTAACTGTCCTTTTCTTCCATCAATTGTGTGCGAGATTTTTTTTTTTTCAACCTTTGTTTATGTCTTTAAATTGTCTTTAACGGTTCAATTTTCATGATTAACAATTCTGCTATGAATAACTCATATTCACACCAAATAATGAAGGAATGCTAAATAGATCATACAGGTGTATAGTGTACCTTTAAAAAGATAATTAGATAAGAACATTAAATCATTCAAATATTTAATGCAATGTACATGATGTAAATTGTAAATAAAATCAATATTTTCTTTAAATGTCATAAAATTTTAAATTTTAAGTATTATTTATTAAAAAGTATGCATTAGTTATTATAAGTATATTAAACAACAAATATTTGTAACTGAAATACATTATGTGTCAAATTATCTTCAAATTTCCATAAGCTTAAGCAATTCAGGTCATTCATACTCACAATAAGGCCAATGTTGTGTTTTTCTTTGTTTTTTGTACACATGATGGTCATTATGGTAGAGGATTTGAAAGGGGGTGTCTTCATTTTCGGTATTCTTTATTTTTTAGGCCATTTTTCTCTGTTCTTTATTAGATTAAAAAGCTCTTTATAGAAAATTAAAACAATAAAATTTAAAAAGGAAAATATCAAATTTTAGTTATAATTATGTACATGATGTATTTATGTCCTGAAAAATTATGCTGTTCAAAATATAAAAAAAATATCTACTGCCATAACTGCTTTTACATTTATAAAATGATAGAAAATTCAAAAGAAAGTTTGTTTTTTATTTCATTTTCAAAAATACTTTATATAAAAGTACATTGTATATATATGGCCATTGGGAACAAACTGTTAGCACAATATAAATCACAATAAAATTAGTTAGGATCCCTGGCCTGGTTAGGCAATAAAAATTAAGGTTTTGATATGAAGTAATTTGAGCTTAGTTATATTATTTCCCTTGGCCCACATTTTGGAGGGGTACATCGATGCTTGATTTTCTTATTTGAATAATCAAACTGAAACATGGCCATGGGGTACAACCAATTCTGATAAGAGATCCTTACCAGATGGTAGTGACAATTCATGCAAGGCTAAAAGAAATAAAAATTGCTCAGAAAACAACATTTTCCAAATTCCTAAAGTCTAGCGGTCAGCATAACAAGTTGAATTTGGCTGATCTATAAACGATATTTATGAAGTGCAGATATACCTCCACCTTGGTGACAAAAGGGAAATAACTCTTAAAATTGCATCTATAATTTAATCAGACTTGGTAGAGAAACCATGTACAGACATATATTTAACTTGGCCTTTGATATACATCTTTTGTACCACTATTGACATACTTTCTACATGATAAGTTTAAAGTAATTATAAGCTCATTATACATGTTATAATTATTTTGTATTTTAATTTAATTTAAACTACATTGTATTAAGTTTTCTAATTTTAAAGTTTGTAAGTAATGTAATCTACTAACACACTTGACACAGAAGTTTCTTTGGCATATATAATATTTCTTTAAAAAGATAACAAAATATGTTGACAAAATGACCTCTAGGAGGCTAACAAAAAAAAAAATTTGACTGATTCAGAATTGTCTTACAAGTGTAAATGTGTAATCTGATTTAAGATTCATTTATTGTAAAATTTGATAACAATTAATGAAAACAAAATTCTGAAAAAAAATCTCCTTTTTTTCTGTATGCTCTATTTATTCAATTTAGACTTGTACATATACATGATATATATATATATATATATATATATATATATATATGTGTACATGTACAAAAAAATACATCATTTACATTGTACATGTAATTTATCATTGTTTCTGTGTATATGTTTATACGTCAGCTTGCAATAAATAATATGGAGTGGATTTTAATTCTTTTTGGCCTATTCAATATTTGTAACAATTATCATGATTATCACAATGATTATAACCATGATAACTTAAGTTCACAATATTATCAGATGGTAATATTTCAACCATAAATTAAAGCTAATTTAAAGTTCTTTAAAACATCTTCTTCAATCATATGGTCCGAGTACACAGTTATTTCGTAGTGCATTTCTTTTAGACAATAAATGAAAATTAAAAAAATCCCACCTGCGCTTTCTCAATAATATTTTTACAGTGTGTTGTACTACTTTTGGGACAAATTATATCAAAATTATAGAAAACTTCATCGGCTCTAACTCAAAATATGGAAAATTTTATGTTAAGGGGGTCTTCAAATCTTTTGACAGCTTCCGAAGTGCTAATTTTTAACATTTTTCAGCTGGACCAAATCACTGCTTTACTTTAAAATTCATGACCCAAATTTTTTTACAGTGTCATTATACCCCCCTACTTGCTATTTGAGTCATAAAACATGGAGAAATAAATTTGGAAGGGGTATAAAAAAAAATAGCAAGTAACACACTGTCCACACTAGGGACTACATTTGTGGACAACGAAAATCAAAGGACGATAACTGTGTACTCGGACCTAATAGGGTAGAAAAAGTTGACCAATCTTAATGAAACTTGGTATGACCAAAGCTTAATAAATTATAAGACTGCCTACAAAGTTTCATGGCAATAGGATATATATTATAGACAATATGACTAATTCTATATTCAACTTTGCGTGTTAAATGTAGACGTTAAAATTGAAAAATTTCAACTATCAACATTTGGGGCTTAAAAAATTTAAATATTGCAAAAAAGTACTTTTGAAATGCCTTAATATATAAAATATTATGTATTAAAAGCAATTGAGTACTCATTTTATTTATCAGACTTATCATAATTATTAAAAAGTCAAATTTATATGAGCCTGTGCCTAAAAATGGAGGTTTTCCAATGAAGGGAGGCCTTACATGAAGATGTAATATTTTCCAGCAATTTTAAATTTGTAAAGCTTTTTGGTTATAAATAATCCTTACATATATATTTAATGTACTTTAAATGGAAAGAAAACTCACAAATAACATATCATATTAGTTTAAAAGGGTCTTAGGCCAAGTAAGACTGAAAATAATTTAGGGTCAATTTAGGCCGTAGCACATATTTACATTTAAACATGCATATTGAAGCTATAGGAAATAAAAATTTGTGTCTTTTCTATCATTTCTATACTCAGGTGACATGATACAATAAATCTGAGCACAAAAAGACTCTTGCATTCAACTTTTTTTGCTGACAGTATGGTCTGATACAAAGATTTTTCACTTTTTAGTGAAAAACATGCATGCAATTTTAGTCGCAACAAGCTTATATTTGAACCACTTGCTATCCTACAGAAGAAAAGAAAGATATTATGTGACATGAAACAGGTACAAAAGACATTGTTAAGTGCTTTTTATACAAATTTAGTGAGGTCTTTTTTATGGACTTCAACTTTTATGTTCCAAGCTCCTCACATTTAACTTGATTCAAACAGGGCGTTAGACGAGGGTCATATATACAACACATTTTGTACATATTGTCTGAGATAATCTTCTTTTCTGTAGATTCAGAGTTCACAAATGAGTAATACAACTGGATTGAAGCATAGAAACACAAATATTGACACATAAAAACCTGTCAGATAGAAAGTCAGAATGCCACTTATGCATCAAAATTGAAAAAGCTATGAAATGGTTATTTTGACCATAATATGCCCAAATTGGTCATTTTTGCAGAAATTCTATCAAATAAAAGTTTAAATCCTTTAGTTTTATGCTATTTGACAAATTGACACTATCAAATCATTCAGGGAAGTTGCCAAAGTACAGATTCTATATTTCCTGATTTCACCTCTTAGGTCCGAGTACACAGTTATTTCGTAGTGCATTTCTTTTAGACAATAAATGAAAATTAAAAAAATCCCACCTGCGCTTTCTCAATAATATTTTTACAGTGTGTTGTACTACTTTTGGAACAAATTATATCAAAATTATAGAAAACTTCATCGGCTCTAACTCAAAATATGGAAAATTTTATGTTAAGGGGGTCTTCAAATCTTTTGACAGCTTCCGAAGTGCTAATTTTTAACATTTTTCAGCTGGACCAAATCACTGCTTTACTTTAAAATTCATGACCCAAATTTTTTTACAGTGTCATTATACCCCCCTACTTGCTATTTGAGTCATAAAACATGGAGAAATAAATTTGGAAGGGGTATAAAAAAAAATAGCAAGTAACACACTGTCCACACTAGGGACTACATTTGTGGACAACGAAAATCAAAGGACGATAACTGTGTACTCGGACCATATGTGAATAAATTTAATGGAAAAATAGTACAATTTTCTTTACGTGCATCGCAAACATTTTAGAAAATCAAAAGGGATTTTATTTGGATTTGGTACATAAGGCTGAAAAAATATAGTTGTCTTTCCTGCCTCTTTAACACGTGCTTGATGAACATTTTAGGATAAGCCCCTATATAGGCCATATCATGTAAAATGTTTTAAAATAAAAAAATAACATATAATTTTACCAACCGTAACCTACAATGTACCTACTTTAAATTTCCTCAATCCACAATAAAATGCTTCGCTGAGCACAGCCTGATACGACCATAGAGGTCGGACCCTGAACAATTGGGGCAAGTTTGCACACAATATTCAAGCTTGAAACTGTCTGAATTTGGATTGTGATCAAATTTTTGACATAATATAGGTTTCTGACACAAAAAAAAATGTGGTCAAAGATCTTAAAAATTTGAAATGGGACATTTAATTTACCTAGTATGGTCTGATATCTAAAATCTAACAACATGGCTAGATTCAGCTTTTAAAAAAAAAAAAAAAATTAATTTTAGTTGAAATCAAACAAAGTTTAATTTTGGACCCTTCAAACCTTAATATGGACTAATTTGAAAACAGGGCCCAAAATAAAAAATCTAAATGCACAATAAGATTGAGCATATAACACAGCCGCAATAATTCAGTTTTTGGTGAAATCAAACAAAGTTTAATTTTGGACCCTTTTGACCTCAATGTAGACCAATTTAACTATATATAGCTAGAGGCTCTAAAGAGCCTGTGTCGCTCACCTTGGTCTATGTGCATATTAAACAAAGGACACAGATGGATTCATGACAAAATTGTGTTTTGGTGATGGTGATGTGTTTGTAGATCTTACTTTACTGAACATTCTTGCTCCTTACTATTATTTCTATCTATAATGAACTTGGCCCAGTAGTCACAGTGGAAAATATTTTG